GTGTGTCTCCTTCCAGGATCTTGAAGTCTGATAAGGTTGTTAATTTTCTATGATGTTAAAAACAGCTCAGCCTGTTCCTGGGACTGGAGAATGGTCAGCATTTCTGAGGTAAACTCCCATAGGGGGTCAGGCACAGCAACCAAGTCAAAGTTTGTCTTGTCCTTGGTCTGTTCTCAAAATGTATTTTCTTTTCTGAGTAATGGACCCATCCAGGCTCTGAGGCATCTTATCTTTCTACAGCCCTGTTTTTCTTCTTGCAACACATCCTCCAGTTTCCCAGGGGCTGTAAGAAAACTTCTTATCTATAGTTAGTAAGGTGAATAATTATTAAACAGCGGGGGTCCTACTCCTATTACATGCCCTGCGCCCTATCAACTGTCACATCTCCATCTCTGACTGTGACCCTCCAGCCTCCCTTTCATAGGACCCTGTGGCTACATTGAGCCCACTCAGATAATCTAGGATAATCTCCCCATCTGAAGATCCTTAACTTAATCACACCTGATTAAGTAAAGGATCTTAATCACATCTGTTGCTATGTGAGGCAACACAGTCTCAGGTTCCAGGCATTGAGACATGGGCATCTTTGGGGGTCATTATTCTATATAATACACTAAGTGGTAATCGAGTCTGTGAAATTAGATCACCAGGAAGCTCATTACTTTAAGGTTGTTTCTGCTTACTATTTTGTGTGTGTGTGTGTGGAATTTCAGGAATGAAACAGTTCTGCAGTTTTTCTGGTGCATGGGTCACGCTCAACCGCTAAGTTCTGCAGTCTTTCTGAAGGGCAGCTTGCCCAAGGCATTTGGGTACTTTTCCTCAGCTGGAGTTGGTAAAGTCAGATAAGATTGAATCTCATTGCCCTTGAACTTTTGGCCACCTAGTTCACCCACAAGGTTCATTTGCATGGCAGCTTCTGGCAAAGGGCTTCTCTCCCTCTGCCGTTTCTGACCCCTCTGGAATTTGAAAAGCAAAGGTCTAACGAAGCAGACATAGCAAGGACCTGAGTCAGGGACCTAAAAGCATAGTCATATTGTTTACCAAAAAGGTGCGAGGATATAATAAGTGCTCCGTGTGGAGTCCAATCAGCAGTTTGTCCTTCCTGATGTTGGAGGGAACAATCCTATTCCCCAACTTCCCAACAGAGAGGCTTTTGAGCCATGTGGCTTAACCTGTAGTCTCTCTGAACTGTTGTTTCCAAACTCTCAAACACAGGTCACCTTGGGGGAAATGAGGCACATCAGTACTTTAATTAGCTCCCTGTATTTCATAAGCCAAGCCCTGTCACCAGATCCTACTCTGAAGGGCTTGTCACTTGGATTCTTCCCCTTCATAGTTTTGAGCCATTACCATTTCCTCCTTCAAGTTCTGCCCTTTTGGGCTACTTACTAAGTTAGAGTCTTTTCTATTCTAATTTTTTTCTATTCTACCTACTGGGTCAAAATATTTTCTTTACCTGCTCAGATTTTCAAAGGTTGGTGCATTAATTGATTCAGCAGATGCTCACCTCCACCATCTCCTGTCTACTTTTGTAGTTTTTTTTGTTTTTTTTGTGGTACGTGCCCCTAGTGGGAACCGAACCCGGGAATCTCTGGTCCACAGGCCGATGCTCAACCACTGAGTCTAACTGGCTAGGGCTACTTTTGTAGTTTTTGATGTGTCCACACTATATTCAATATTTGTTGATAAAAAAGGAATTTAGCAGGTGTTCATCTGTTATAATCGACTAAAATAATGGTTCACAAGGATTTAAGAATGATGTTGACTTTAATTTTTGTTGTTACTTACATTGCATAAATCAAAGTTAGACTTTGGAAGAATATGGGTTCTCTACTTAGAATTATTAAAACTTATCTGGAAGGGATATTTATGTCGTTGACTTTAAGTGAACATTGATTGGATCGGAACAGGAGGCAGAAAAGTTCAGGGAGAGGCTGCATCGAGGAATTAAAAGGATGGCTCTGGCATCAGGCAGCTTTGGTTTCGGTTTGGCTCCCTTAGTACAACCTGTCAGGCAGCCCAGTCCAGCCTGTTTCCTCCTCTATTAAATCAGAACAGTAACAGTGGTATTCTTTCATCAGGTTGTGAGGAAATACAACCTAAGCAAGTAAAGGGCTTTATACATAGCAGGCAGGTAATCAATATTGTTCAATGTCTCATGGTCAGAGTTCTGTTAACTTTAGCTATGATGACGAGGGTCTATAAACACAGGATTCAAAGCGCTTAGTTGTGTATCTTATAGTTAAAATAAGCTGATACCAGTACATCTATGCAAGGGCAGTGTGGGCCACGTTTCAATTCATCAGACACAGTGGGGTTCCCGCTACGGGTCAGACTGGCCAGCGGCTAAGATGGGAACTAGATTATCTTATAAAAATTCCCGAGTATACAAGTTTTGGTGTATAAAAAACGTTGTTTAAAACTGAAAAAATAGTTGCAAAAGTACTGAACTTGTCTCTGGTTGCTGCCAGTACCATGGTCATAGGTTTGCTAAGCCAGTGTAACACACTCTGGAAGAAATTGTTCCCAAGCATCTCACTCGAACTGAAATCATCTACGACGGGCTGGATTTTTGCCTTTAAAAAGTTGACTCGGGAGGCATTTGTGTGGAGCGAGCAGAAGAGAGCAGTATTCAGGAGGCTGCAGGCCAGGGTCTTTAGGCCCTGGAATCCCTTTGGGCTCCGCCCAGTCGTCAGCACCAGTTTGTTTACCATTTCAGCCCCCCAACCTCTCACTACATTTTAAGAATTTGGACCTTTGTTTGAAGTAGATCCCAAAGTTATTCTTCCACAAGATTCAGCTACTACGTGGAAGGGATGAAAGGTCACCACACCTTTGCTTCTCGCTCAATGGCGGGGGAGGCTCTGGCCTCACAGGGGTGCTGGTCCGGGCTGGGGCCGGCTGTGGACAAGCCCTGCGGGGCTCAGGGCTCCTGCACTCTGCGGCCAGCTGGAGCCCCTGCTCGACGCTCCTGTACCGCGCCTGCTCTTGGGCCACCTGGGTTCACATTTTGGAAAAAGGGGGTCATCCAGCAGTGGCAGTGCAAACCCAACCGCCTACTCTACTGTGTCCAGAGAGTGACAGCGGGAGACGGAGGGCGTGGGCCGGAGGGCGGTTACCCGGCACCTGGCGCAGCACCGAGCCGGCCGCCCCGGTGCAGGGGCCCCGCCCCCGGCCTCGCGCCAGCGGCGGAAGTGACGCACGCCCGAAGCCATTTCCGGCGGGCCGAAACTAGGAAGAAACTTGAAGCTGCAGAGGCTCCTGTGCTGCCCGTCCCCGCCGCCCCGGTGCCCCGGTGCCCGGGCCGCGCCGAGCCGTCGGGAGCCCCGCCATGGGGCCGTGCGGGCCGTCGGCGGTGTGAGGCGCGGGCCTCCCGCGGGCTCCCGGACAGGCCGAGGGCGGGAGGCGTCGTTCCAGCCGCGGTCCGGGGCGGCCGGCGCGGGCTCCCGGCACCATGAACATAGACGTGGAGTTCCACATCCGCCACAACTACCCCTGGAGCAAGCTGCCGGCCAACGTGAGGCAGGTACGGCCGCGACCTGGGGCCGGGCCCCGCCCCGCCGCCACCTGCTCGCTGCGCCCGCGGGGCCGGGGCCTCTCGGCCGGCTCCCGCCCTTCCCCTCGCCAGCCTCGGGAAGCCGACCTGCAGCCCCGGGATGCGGAGGGGGCGGCCCCGGGGCCGCCGAGGCAGGACGGGGCCGTGGCTGAAAGGGAGGGATGGGATCGTACCCTGGACTCGCCTGGCGCCTTTGCCCGAAGCCTCCGTTCAGCCAGGCACTGGCCCGGCGCCTGCGAAACATTGGAAACCCTGACCTCCAGCACTCCAGGACGGCGGGAAAGGGACGAGAAACCAGTGAGCGCGTCACAGGTGACAGCACCTGTGCTGTCGCGCATCTGGGCGCCCAGGGGAGGAAGTAAGACGGGTCCCAGGGCGTGTCCGAGGATGCGTCCCCGAGACATTTAAACTGGGCCCTAAAGGACGAGTAAGGGATCAGAGGGGATCAAGACTTTCCAGGGAGAGGGCAAGTCGTCTGAAAAGGCTCGGACAGTGAACGCGTGTTTCCAGGGAAGCATCCTCACGTCGCCCGAGTTTGCAGGTGTAGGGACTGTATAGAGGTCTGTTTGGGGCCGGGGTTTTGTGCATGCAAGGCGGCCGGTAGCAGATGAGGCTGAAAAAGCAGTCCGAGCCAGATTTCGAAGGGGCTTTGTACTTTTTTTATTGGACTTTATCCCCCTGACAAGATGCCTTTATGAGAGACGTTTCAACAAGAGAGTGATAGGAGGTTTTTGAGAGTCAGTTCTCAAATGTTTGAGTTAAATTTTTACTGAGTTGTTAAACATACTTATTAAACATCGGCTGCGTGCTATGCCTTGTTCAAGACAGACCAGACCCTGCCTTCATGGAGCTTACATTTTAGTTAAGAAAGATAGTAAGTGAATGAACATAAAATATGGCAGGTCGTGTAAAAATCATATGCAACTAGTGGTACTGCTGTCTGTGAGGCTCTTGTTTCTCCGATTGACCTTCAAGTTCCTCCCATTCTTCTGGATTGAGAGTGAAGTTCTGTTTTCCACTGGTACGGAGCAGTTGTATTTGGAAACTCTGGGATGGTAGTGGTGATGGAAGGATTATTACTCTGCCTCCTTTCCCAGCTTGGAGACTCAGTTCTAGGAAATGAATAATTGAAAGTTTGGAGATGTGTCATGTGACAGAAGATGCTTTCACTTTACGATTTCAAGAAAGCAGAAAAGAGGAAAGTTAAATTTAAGGAACTCAGAAATTTTGATCATCAGTGGCTGCCCATGTGGTACTTAGCTTGATCTGGAAAAAGAAAGGTCTGCAGGAATACATTTCTCTTATTAAGCTTGAATGAAGGCTTTGGTGGACACTCATCTTTTAAGGTTTTGTGGCATATCTGAAGACATTTGGAAGAACCAACAGTCTTTTTCTTTGTTTTCATTTATTCTCTACTCTTCCTTTCACAAAAATAAATGTAGCATAGTGGAAGAAAGATGGATGATTCGATTATGTCCAAGATGAATAACTGGCCTTAATTAGTATTGGTAAAAAAAAAAATCTAAACCTTAGTCATGACTATTAAAAGTAATCACAGAACAGTGTTACAGTTAGGTACAAACATGACATTTAAAAATATTTTTGGTAAGATCACTTAAAAGAGTAGCTCTTTAGCTTAGGATAAGTTTCCACTTGTAGAAGGTATTGCAAAGCCCATCTATACAAGGTACGTCTGTGGTCTTTCTCTAGTCTTGCTACTGTTTTCTCTAGGTCAGTCTCCACCAGAATTACTGCATCAGCTTTCTGTCTGTGGTGTCTTGCCCTCAGAATGGGATGCTCCAGTCCATTCTTCACACTATACTGGGGTGAGCTGTCTGAAGCACAGAAAGCTGTTCTGAAAGCTGGGGGGAAAGGGGTTCACTTCCCATCTCCTAAGGATTTATTGGAGCTTCTTTTTGAATCTCAGGTTTTAATTCCTCCAGGAAGGTTTCCCTAACCCCCTAAATCAGTTGACTCTCAGGTGTGTTAACAACAGCCCTGTATTTCTATACTCAGAGAGCACTTGCCCACTATGTTGCATTTTCTGATTACATCACTTGTTTTGCTTTTGTATTTTGGTCACCTATCATATAGTTAGCTTTCAGTAAGTATTTTTGGAGTGAATGGAGGATGGCATCAGTGTGATCCCCCTACCCCCAGCAGCTAAATTAAAGCTCAGGCAATTTAAAAATGGGGAACATTCCTTGTATGGAAAGGATTTGGTTTTGACATTAGAGATACTAAGCACTTTTGATAGTTTCCAGTAAGTTTCAATAAGTTTAATTTGGAAATGACTCATAGTTTCCTGTTCTGAAAGCTGGGGGGAAAGGGATTCAGATTTTTAAAAAAATGTTCATTTCAAAACTGTTCAAAACTGTTGTTTTTATATGGATGAGATGAAATATTTCTATGTATTATGAACTTAAAAATACATAGAAAGTTGTGGATAAGGTCATTATTTCAGGATATTAAGAATAGTTTACCAGTATCTTGAATTCATTGTTCAAAAACAGTCCATAGTTGTTTTATTTTAAATCTTATCATGAGGTTCTGTATAATCCAAGGAGGGTCAATTAAAACATATCTGTGTATTTTTTTTGAGGTGCACATTGGGATTAGGGTTTGTAGGAACAAAACTTTTTAGCATAAACTGATGGTGGGTGCTTTATACCCATTGCCTATGTTGCTCTTCATCTGTTGTAGGACCTTTTATATGCAGCCCAATTCCATTGGTCAGACTTGGTCCTTATTTCTGCAGGGTCAGCACTGAGAGTAAAATGAGCTTTCTGTAGTTGCCTCCCATAGTGGCAACAGTGTTTTAAAATGTGAATGGTGGGAAATTTGGGGTAGGAGTGGGAGACAAGCCAAAGAATCTTTGTGAACAAAACAGTTATATTTTATGTAGTGGGTAATGAAGAATCAGACAAACTAAAAAAAATTTTTTTTTTCCTTTATTGATTTTGGAGGGAGAGAGAGATAGAAACATCGATGAGAGAGAACATCGATTGGCTGCCTCCTACATGCCTCTCACTGGGGATTGGGCCCACAACCTGGGCATGTGTCCTGACCAGGAATTGGACTGGCAACCTCTTGGTGCATGGGTTGACGCTCAACCACTGAGCCACACCAGCCAGGCAAGAATCAGAAAAACTTTTAATGTAGTTCTCAGGTATATGTGTGCACACACGTGTATTGATCAGGACCAGTCATTACTAAATGCCTAGTGCAAAAACTTAGATGTTTAATAGATAGCATATTTTCTAATTAGCTTATAAATAATGGACCCTTATATTTTGTATGAGTGACTTGATTTAAACTTTTTATTCTGGGGTTACCAGGAATGGAGTTGGAAAGAGAGAAAATGGTTGTAAGTTAAGATAAATTAAGGGATTTACCTTGAAAAAGAAGAACAAATCCTCAAGTTTGAAAGTTGATAAGATTTTAGCAAATTGTCTATTGTATGTGTGTTTCTTAAAGAGACTTTGATTTGGCATTAGTGCTAGAGGAAACTCTTTAAAAGGTTTACAGAAAACCTTAATATTTTGAATCCCCTAAATATCTTCAATACTTACCCTAGCTTTGGTGCTTAGGAATTTTATTCCTAACTACTTCTAATGTTAAAGTGGGTGAAAATAATATAAACAAATACATTCCAACAGTAGTATGAGTTGTAGTTTAATCTGTGATAATTAATCTAGTTGCAGGAAGAAAGATTTTTCATTTTCTCACATCCCTTTTTTTAAAAATTAAAATACTTCCCACCAGTGGTTCCATTTATTTGCCAGTTGATATAGATGTGACTTTCATCTGTTTCGTGAAGATTGCCTTAAGTGAAAGTATGTGTCTGGACATTTACCTTGGCTTTTAAAAACCTATGAGTAGGAAGTATGAATCCTCTGATGTCTAATTTTATTTTAAAGCACATTGGAAAGATCATACCTAGTAATTAGAAGGGGGATAGCAGTCATTTATTAAATTAAGTTTATGGTTGCACATTGAATATAATTTGACTTTAATCAGGCCAACGTATTCTTTGCTTTCATGAGAACCCAACTTTGAGCTTTTAACCCTAGGTGCACAGCTAGAAAGTATTCTGATCATTAAAATACATTGGAATTCTAAAATTGTCTAAATGTTTTCTAATGAGACTGTAAGGAGACAATGTTTTAAAGAAGTAATCTTAAATTTAGAGGCACATTTGAAATGTACATTCTCCAGAAATCTTAATTTTTAATAATCATATTACTTAGCTATAAATGATTATCAAACAGGGATCTGTCCTCAGTTGCCATTCTTAAATTTAAATAAATGGAGGTGTAAGAAACCATCCATCCATCCATCCGTCCGTCCGTCCATCATAAATTGGGAACAGTCAGGAAAGGAAATCTTTGTAAGTAGATCTTAGTGCTTTGTTAAGGGAAGTTATGCTCTCAAACTGCTATTTTATTTGATATTAATTACTTCAGATAATTTTAATAAGTCCTTTTAGAAAGGCAGACTGAAAATAAGCATATTGAACTTTTGCTCTAAAACCATAATAGAAAGTTAATACTATAATATTTAAGAAAATCTTCTTTATTCTATTCTGGAAATTAGAGATTCCAGGATAAAATTAGGGGGCATGGTTTTGAAATCTTATGGGGGAAAAACTATTTTAGTTTAGAAACTATTTGAAATCTATCTGTCTTTTTTTTTTTTTTTTTAGAGTCTTGGAAATTCACAGAGAGAATATGAAAAGCAGGTTGTCCTGTATAGTATCCGCAACCAGTTACGATACAGAAATAACTTAGGTGAGTAGAGATATTTTTACCTTGAGGTAGAATTGACTGTTGTTGAGTTATCATGGTTATAAATCTGTGCTATCCTTTCCATACATGTTTTATAGTACTAAAATTATTCCATGTACAGACTTTAAGAAACTATACTGACCCATTCCACCTAACTATTTGCATTAGCAAGTAGATTTTTTCTTTCTAATTCTGATGAAAATTATTTTTTAGAGTATTGTTAATAGATTTGTTTTACCTATAGAATATTAATCTTGATTCAAATGCCTCTTTTTACTTTAGATAATATGCCAGAAAAGAAGTACATTAGTTCTTAATAATTTTTTACTTTGAGTTTTGTTTGTGTTTCTTTTTTTAAATCTTTATTGTTGAATGTATTACAGATGTTCCTCATTTTTCCCCCATTGACCTCCTCCTCCCTACTCCCAACCCCCTCCCGCCTTTTCCCACACTGTTGTCTTTGTCCATTGGTTATGCATATAAGTTCTTTGGTTTATTTCTTCCCACCCCCCAACCCCTTTCCCTTTGAGGTTTGTCAATCTAGCAATGAATTTGTACTTCTTAATCCCTTCACCTTTTTCACCCATTCCCCCAACCCGCCTCCCATCTGGCAACCAACAAAATGTTCTCTGTATCTATGAGAATGTTTCTGTTCTGCCTGTTCATTTTGTTTGTATATTCCATTGTCAATAGATATGTATTCATTGCCATTTTGTTTGTTCATATATTTTATCTTTTTCTTCAGAAAGACCCTTCAACATTTCATATAATAACGGTTTGGTGGTGATGAACTCCTTTAACTTTTTCTTGTCTGGGAAACTCTTTATATGGCCATCGATTCTAAATGACAGCTTTGCAGGATAGAGTAATCTTGGTTGTAGGTTCTTGCTTTTCATCACTCTGAATACTTCTTGCCACTCCCTTCTGGCCTGCAAAGTTTCTTTTGAGAAATCAGCTGACAGCCTTATGGGAACTCCCTTGTAGGTAACTAGCTGCCTTTCTCTTGCTGCTTTTAAGATTCTCTCTTTGTCTTGAACCTTTTACATTTTGATGATGATGTGTCTTGGTGTGGGTTTCTTGGGTTCATCTTGTTTGGGACTCTCTGTGCTTCCTGGACTTGTATGTCTGTTTCCTTCACCAAGTTAGGGAAGTTTTCTGCCATTATTGTTTCAAACAGGTTTTCGATTTCTTGTTCTTGCTCTTCTCCTTCTGGCACCCCCAAGATGCGAATGTTGGCACGCCTGAAGTTGTCCCAGAGGCTCCTTACACATTTATTTGGATTCCTTTTTCCTTTTGCTGTTCTGATGGGGCGTTTTTTGCTTCCTTATATTCCAAATTGATGGTTTGCTTCTTGGATTTACGTACTCTACTATTGAATCTGTGTAAATTATTCTTTATTTCAGTTAATGCCTCCTTCATTTCTGACTGTGCATCCATCATTTCTGACTGGTCCTTTTTTATGTTCTTGAGGCCCTCACTAAGTTCACTGAACATCCTTATAAGCAGTATTTTGAACTCAGCATCTGTTAGGTTGCTTATCTCCATTTTGCTTAGATCTTTTCTTGGGGTTTTGTTCTGTTCTTTCATTTGGGACCTGTTTCTTTGTCTCCTCATTTTGGCTGCCTCTCTGTGTTTGTTTCTGTGTATTAACGAGAGGTATGGGGCTATCTGAGACCTGATGCTGCTTGTTTGAAAGAATTTAGGAAAACCTGAAGCAGGATCCAAGACAGGCCAATCCTATGGTTAAGCAAGTGGCAACAGCTTGGGTGGGCCTGAAAGTTGGGTGGGCGGGGCCTCAGGGAGTCACCAGGGCAGGGCTACCAGTGTGAGCCAGGTTGCTGGAGTCCCAGATATGGCTGCTGTCTGCCGCCCCAGGGAAGGGCTCACCAAAGGAACAAAGGCCTCTGACAGCATGTCTGTCCTGGAGAAATCCCCCTCTCCAGCCCTCGCTCTGATGCCAAACAGCTCAGTTCTTCCCTATGTCTCTGGCGCCCCTCGAGCTGCCTCCCCTCCAAGCTTAGAGGTTGTAAGTCAGATAAGTCCATGCGTGGGCCCTTTAAGAGGAGCTGCCTGGGTCTCCAGCCGCCTCAGCCTCCCTGAGCCTCAGTTCCCGCTGGTTTTTCCAGCCAGAAGTGATGGGGATTCTCTTCCTGGCATTGAAACCCTGAGCGGGGCACCTGGTGTGGGACAGGGACCCCTCAGTCCTCAGGAAGGACCTTCCCAGCCGAAGTGTCCTCCTGATTTTTATCCCCACACGTGGGTGTGGGACCAGCTCGTCCCCTCCGCTCTCCTACCAGTCTCCATGTGGCTGCTGCTTTAATTCCGTAGCTGTAGGACTTCCATTCAGCTCGGTGTCAGGTGGTTCTGAATGATGGTTGTTCTGTAGTTTAGTTGTAACTTTGATGTGGTTGTGGGAGGGCAGATACCGCGTTTACCTACCTGACGTCTTAACTGGAAGTTTGTGTTTCCATAAGTTTTCCAAATAATATAACTTTAATGAAAACTCTTTTGATAATAATTAGAACAATTTTTAAACATATTTAGTTCCTTGTTTTAATGTGTGCTTTTTATATGTCAGGTTTCTGATTAGTCTATTCTGTTGGCCTAGTCTTCTCTCTCGGGAGGTACTCTTATTTTAAGCAGAATATTTCAGACATATGTTTTCTTTTTAAATTTATTCCATGTATGTCAGAAATCTTTTTACATTTAAGTCACAAAGACCAGAAAATAGTTTTTAAAAATAGACTTGATTTTATGGAAAACTACCATTTCGTTTGGCTATCTTGCAAGGTGGCATAGTAAGGGATTGGATGAATTATGGCTTATGTTTTATACATTTTTGGGAAATGTTCCATTCTTTCTTTGCTTTTGATTTCGTAAGAATTATTTCTCTATCTGTCCTATTATACATTTTACATATATATTCTGAAGTCTCTTTCTTGTGGTATAATTATTTCTTTGTTCCAACTTAGATTATTTTATTTGTTCTCTTCCAATTTATATACTTTTCTTTTTAATTAATATTGGTTTGTAAAGTATTTCTCATTGCATTTGTAATTATATGTAAGTATAAGACACCTGAATAAAACTGGAGAATCTCCTTTCCCCCAGTTAAACATGTCAAGAAAGATGAACGCAAATACTATGAGGAGCTGCTGAAGTACAGTCGAGACCATCTCATGCTGTACCCTTACCATTTATCGGATATTATGGTAAAGGGCCTGAGGATGACACCATTTTCATATTATACTGGCATTATGGAGGTGAGTTTACAGTGTACTCAAACCAGTAGGAAAGGGATGGGACTACGTATCAGGTGCATTTTGCAGCCGATGACCAGTCTGCAGCCCTCAGCAGCAGTGTGCGTTGTTTCTGAGTTTACAGTGTAAAAAGGTCTGATGGTTACAAGTTAACTGTTTTAGCTATACTTGTACAAGTATTGTCATTATTAGTATTTTCACAGTGGAAATGTATCTATTTTTTATTTTTTCTTGAAAGCTTTGTTTATGCTGTTATAACATCAATCAGTCATTTATGTGAGCAGAGTTTGTATAACATTTATTGTTTTTAATGCATGATTAAGGTTAAAAATCTGGATGATAGAATTGAACATTAAGCTCAGAGAATCCTAATACATTTAGCTATTTACTAACTGTAGCAACAATAAGGTGCTGTAGACCTAGCATTATATAATACACGTGTCAGAAAAAGAGAACTGTTTGAGTAGCCCTGGCTGCCAGTCTTTCTGTAATTATTAACTTTCAGATGTTAGCCTTTTCCCAAAGGCAGTTTTTAGGCCTCTGTTGAGTAATTGTAAATACCAGTTATATACTTTTTAAAACTGAGCTTTTTGTAAAGATTGGCAATATTTAGCTAGCATTCATTTGCTGCTTAATTATTTTTGAGTGCTACTGATTTGTGCTCACTAGCCACTTTAAGAACAGAGAGAAGCCTGGAACTAAAGGCGTTGGGGACCTATAGTTACAGTGCGGTTAGTTCTCTTTTTGATGTGGCTTCCTTTACAAGAGCTCCCCTCGCTTATCTCCTTAAGCTCCTTATCATGGGCACTTCTACAGTCCCCTGTCTCCCGTGTCCCTATTTTGGAAGAAATACAGAGAGATCCTGAGGCCTGACAGCTTAGGTTTCTGTCAGTCCCTTTGCTGAGAACCAGAGAAGCGTGGTGAAGGTGGCTGCTGATCAGCGAGCAGAATCACTGTTGCTTCTCTTTGATTTCTGGTCTTGTCCACAGGTTTGAGGGAGATGATAGAGGGAGGTTTTGTCCCATTTACCAGCTTTCAGTTATGTCCATGTGCTTGCTGCTGTCTGGTTTCTGTTCTTACACCACTGGGTCTAGCTTTTGGGTTGAAAATGGGTTTAATCGCCACAGTAAATAGTTGGTTTATTATTGGAAAAGCAGATGGGAGTTGGAAGAGCTGGATTCTGAATTTAACTCTGCAGTTGAGTGGGACTCCTAGGAGCAAAGATGACTAAATGGTTAAATACTTTGCTGGTAGTGCATGTCTTAGATGTGTGTTGATGGAGCTGTGACACATTATTTGGACTTTTCTCAGGATAGAAGTCTGGGATCAGGTATGAGTATGGAGAAGCTGGAATCCTGAGCGCTCATAGGGGTATTCCTCACATAGCTTCCACAGGGCAGGAGTCACAGGGCAGCTGTCGGGGATTCACAGAGAGCGCTAGGAGAAACCCAGGCCTGAAAGTCTGATCTTAGTCACTAGGTTGAGACCAAGTGTAAAATGCCATTATGTGGTATGCATGCTTTCGGTTGCCAGACTCTGATCTCAGAGCTTCAGGTAATAATTATTGTTCCTCTGTTTGCTATATAAATATGTATTTGGACACATGTTTTTACTTAAGGACATTTTGCATTTAAAATTTTTTATATTTTTTATTTTAAAAAGGACATTATGAACAGTGAGAAAAGTTATGATTCTCTGCCCAATTTTACTGCTGCTGACTGTAAGTATTTAATTATGCGACGCGAGTAATGTTTAGTGTGTCTTTGTGCACGCATGCTGTTGTGTCAGTGTCATAATGTGTGTTTTTAACCTGAAACACATGAAAGATGAGAGCAAGCATCATTGTTGACGGGAATTTTGTCAGGTGATACAAATCAAGTGTAAGATTTAGTCTAAATGTCTAAGGAATATTTTGGAATTTTTGAATCAGAAAAATGGAACTAGTCTCTATATTCCTAGAGAATGAAGTTCTTCCTGATGCTTGGGTTATGTGGTGTACCAAATGAGGGAAGAAAACTTGTATAGGATATTTTTACAACATGGAACACAGTTGTTACTGACACAGTTTGCTGGTGTTTTATTATGCTTATTTTAATGAAGTATATATTTGAAATGTGACATAGGTCTGTTGTATAAGAAGAAACTTTTGCTGAGAAGTGCACTTTGACTTCTTGAAACTGGGAGGATTTCTGCTTTTTAAAAATTTTCTCATTTGGCATTGTCAAACGTGTTAGCTTGAATTTATCTCTCTTGGTTTTGTTTTCTTTTATATTTTGTTTGAAGAATTCTTTTTATTATTATTATTTTTAAATCCTCACCCGAGGATATTTTTTCCATTTATCTTTAGTTAGAGTAGATGGGAGGGGGGGGGGGGGGAGAGAGAGAGAGAGAGAGAGAGAGAGAAACATCGATGTGAGAGAGACACATCTGTTGGTTGCCTCCCGCACGACCCCAACCAGGACCAGGGCCAGGGATGAACTGCAACCGAGGTATGTGCCCTGGTCGGAATAGAACCCTCGACTCTTTGGTCTGCGGGCCGACGCTCTAACCACTGAGCAACCGACCAGGGCGGCTGAAGAATTCCTTTTAATTTGATATTGCCAACCAATAATCAAAAGATGAACAACAGCCAAGTGTTTTTTCCTAAAATACTGTGAGTGTACTGGCATGTCGAGACGCACTGAAAGTTTTTAAAGGAGAACTCTTCCTTTCAGGTCTGAGGCTTCTGGGCATAGGGAGAAACCAGTACATTGATCTGATGAATCAGTGTAGATCATCAAAAGTAAGTTAATCAGTTCTTTCTTATCTCTTGTCCTCATCACAGTCTGATTAATTTTTTAAGTTTAAGAGTAATGAATTTTAATTTCTCTGATCAAATAAAATATAAGTAATATAGAACTAGTATAAGAACTCCTCAGTATTATCTAGCTTATAGCTTAAGTGATTATTTAATTAAAACATTTGGTGGCATAAAACATGTAGTTTATTATTTTTTTGTTTGTTTGTTTTGTTTTTTATCCTCACCTGAGGATATTTTTCCATTTTTTGTACAGATAGAGTGGGAGGGAGAGAAAGGAAGGGAGAGAGAGAGAGAAACATCGACGTGAAGGGACACATCGAATGGCTGCCACCCGCACAACCAACCAGGGCCGGGGACAAACTGCAACCGAAGTACGTGCCCTTAGCGGGAACCGAACCCGGGTCTCTCCGGACCGCAGGCCGACACTCTAACCGCTGAGCCAAACTGGCCAGGGCTGTAGTTTATTTTTAATAATTAATTTTGTTCTGCTGGTCTTTTTCTTGCTCATTCCACTCCCAGGGTTAACTTAGTGGGTGAAATTAGTATACTTTCTAAAGGCATTTTCACATCCTGGTCATTTTAGTTTCTGGATTTAGATCCAGATTTAATGATTAGTTTGTTTAAGTAAATTATTTTGAAATAATTTGAGTATATTTTAAAACTCCATTTAGTATATCTAGAATTACAGATTTTTAAAAATGAGAATTTAAAAAGGTATTAGCCTGTTAGAAACAGTCTTCTTAGAGAATTGATAAGAAAGTAGTAAATTTAGACCAATTGCAAATTGTACTATTGCAGAAATTTTTCAGAAGGAAAACAGCCCGTGATCTTCTACCAGTAAAGCCAGTGGAAATTGCCATAGAGGCGTGGTGGGTGGTGCAGGCTGGATACATCACAGAAGACGACATAAAGGTAGTTATCTTATAAATTATTTTTATTTTAAAATTTATTTTTAATTATAGTTCTCTAAAAAAAAACACTATTTGGTTTTACTGAAGAAAATTAAACAAATTCAAAGTTTAAAATGATCTTAGAAAGCTAGAATATTGGTGAGTTCCCAAGATATTCTTTAATAATGAGGGAGACTTGACTTGGTTCAGGCACAGTAATCTGGGGATTTTAATTAGATAACAGTTTCAGGTAAACTGACGTGATGCTGCAACTACTGACAGTCCTGTGAACTAACATTTTGAGCACTTGCTGTGCTAAATGTGCCCGGCACTGTTCATGGGCTTTTAAGTGTCTCATGGGATGCTCATAACAGCCCCAGAGTTGTGTGTAATTTGTACCTCATTTTGCATATGAGGAACAGAAGCACAGAGAAGTGAAGTGATGGCTGAACTGAGCACAGAGATTAAGGTGATTGCTCGAGTCGTAGTGGTAGTAACGGTCCAGGATTCTTATGGAACCTGTGTTATATATATGTTTTTTAATCCTCACCCAAGGATATTTTTCCATAGATTTTTTTTTCCCCAGATAGGTAGAGTGGGATGGAGGGAAGGAGAGAGAGAGAAACATTGATGTGAGAGAGACATATAATATAGACTGGTTGTCTCCCACACGATCCCCAGTAGGGATGGAACCTGCAACTGGGGTACATGCCTTTGACTGGGAATTGAACCCACAACTCTTCCATCCACAGGCCAGTGCTCTAACTGCTGAGCCAAACCAGCCAGGGTGTTTTTTTGTTTTGTTTTTTAATATTTTTTATTGATTTTTTTTTTTTGAGAGAGAGGAAGGGTGTGGGGGGAGGGAGAGAACATGAATCAGCTGCTTACTGCATGTCCCTTACTGGGGGTCAAGCCTCAACCTGGGCATATGCCCTGACCAGGAATCGAACTAGCAAACTTTTAGTGCACAGGTCAATGCCCAACCATCTGAGCCATACACACTGGCCAGGGCTGGAACCTGTGTTCTTAAGTACACTGCTAAATTGTTGTACTGAAGTGGTAGGTGCTTTCATAGGGCGATAGTGTCAAGATGAAGGGAAAAGGTATGCTCACTGATCAGACCACATTTGGTAGGAGCCTTTTACTATTTTTAGAAGAGTGTTGACGAACAGGAAAGGGGTGGGGTGGGACAAGAGCCCTAGAGACAAGGTCATATCTCTGTGTGGCCGAAGAAATGTAAGTGAGCATGTGGACATTTTTGTTTGTTTGCATTTTATTTTACCCCAGAAGACAGATAAATCAAATGAGTGGAAAGGCTTAGAAATTTTGCTTTAGTATAAATAATTCCTGACAGAGCTGTCAAACAATGTCATAAGATAGTGAACTTCTTACCCCAAATAGTCATGTGGAGTTTGAATCAACTTTATTTTTGAGAGGTTCAGAATCAAAGATGGATCAGATTTCAATTCAAAAAAGATGAGTAAATATTGGTATTTATTAGTGAACATTTATTACTTACCAGCAGGTATTGTTATTTATAGTTACCCTGTTTTCTGAGTTCTGTTTGTAGCATCCTTTGGCACCTTAATTGATGGTTATGCACATAACTTTTTTTGTTAGAATTCTAGAGTGATAAATGAAAAAAAAAGTAGTTCAGTCAACAAACATCATATAATCATTCGTTTAAACATGAATAGATTTGAGAAGACATGAATTAGTTAATTAGGATAGAACTTAATTGAAAATATTTTGCTTTTCTTAGATATGCACTTTGCCTGAGAAATGCGCTGTTGATAAGATCATCGATGCAGGCCCTCAGCTCGCTGGATCACTAGATTACAATGTAGTACATAGTAAGTGGTTAGTAGAAATGGTCTTTTGTCAAATAGAAACATGCTTTAAGCCATCAATAATTAATAGCAATTATTTATTAATTAGTTAAAAATAGTAATATTTCCTAAAGGCATGTTATTTTGTCAAATGTAACCATAGTCCATAGTTTTCCACTGTGGTTATAATTAGTCACATCCACTAGAAATTTACACAAATAAATCATAAGAAAAATTGTGTAGGTCTGAGCATATGAGGGAAGCTGAGATTTGAAAACTTTAATTCTTCTATTTTACTTTTTTATTTTTCACACGGCATTTAGTTGTATGAATCTTTACTACAGAAAATCAGTTTTTTTTAATGTTTAGTATTGCATCTAAAAGAAGGTACTTTTGTTTCTATAGGTTTATATAACAAAGGATTTATTTATCTGGATGTACCAATATCCGATGACAGTTGTATAGCAGGTAAGCATGTGCTAATAGTTTTCTTTTCTTTTTTTTTTTTAATGGTTCTGGGCATTATTACTCAAATAAGTTAGACACAAATTATTGTAGGATCTTTGATGTTAGAATTTTGCAGAGAAAGACATTTTTTTCTCATTACTCTGTAACATATTGTGGTGGTTTTACTTAAATTCCTTATTTTCATTTTTATAGTATTTGGTGTACACACTATATTATAGTAATAGAAATATGAGATAAGTTTTTTACAATCCTAAAACAAATTATTGTATTTATAAATTCATGTCACATTTTAGTCCTTGCTTAGTGCATCACAGCTTTTACATATATTCAGTAATACAGAATTGTGTGTTCTCCAGTCCACTTATCTGTGCCTTATATTCCACGTCACTACCCTCTTTTTTGTCTTCATCTCCTCCTTCCTTCCTACTTCATTCACCTCTCCAGGTTAAATCAATATTAAGGCCCTTCTGTATTTTCTTCTACACTTAATGGGTTGTATCAGTTTATTAAATCATTTCCCTGTTGCTGGTCATTCATATTATTCCCAGTGTTTTGCTACAAAAGTGATGTAGTTAACATCTTGGAATACAGAATGAAGTTTTTTTTCTATAGGTTAAATTTCTTACCAGTTTGTAGAAGCACTTGTTATATTTAGTTATATGTTACAAGTATGTATTCCAGCATGTCTTTTAGCCCCTGTTGTTTGTATTCTCTTTTATCATACTAAGATATTTAATATTTGTGTAATTAATTATAAAGTGTCAAAAAAATTCCAGGGATTGGCTTTATTATTAACAGTTGACTGTTGATAGGGATTATTACAAAAATACACCCTCATTTCAGTGTTGAATCTCGACTGGTTATCCTGCATGAGTGTGTCCTGACCTTTATTTGTGTTAGCATGTGTTATACTTTAATCACACATTTTGAACCATGTATAGACATGAATTTTCTTTTAAGCTTGGGAGGCAGCTGGAAAACGAAATGAAATACTAATTGTGTAGTGGACACTGTAATAAATAAAATACTAGTTTTAAAATGTGAGAGGTTTTGACGAGGAATTAATTTCTGGAAGACAGAGGTGCTAGTGGTTTCCTGTCACCACTGGAAAATATGAAAGCATTACTCTGATTAATTTGATAAACCACATTGACTCATTTGAAATCCACCTAAAGAGATTGGTCTTTGATTAGTTCATTTCAGTGGATTTTGACAGTTTGAATATTGACTCATGTTAGCACTAAGTTTTGAAGGAAGCATCAGAGAAGGGCTGAATGGATGGCTTCTCTATTACAGTGTCATGTTCTGCCATGCTTCACACAGTGTCTGGCAAGTTTTGGTGGTACAGACAAGACCCATGGTATTATAACTGCTGTCACCATGTTACCTCTGGCTGTTCCCCAAATTGGAATAACCCATGAAAGGAAAGCAGTTTGATAACATGGAAGCCATCAAATTCAGCACAAAAGACACCTGAAGGTGATTTCAAAGGAAGCAGTTCAGCTATGTTTCAACAAAAAACAAGTACTGTGGGCGGTGCGACAAATAAATGTGGGGAGAGCAATACTTTGAAGAGAATACTCATGAGAAGGGCTGTTGCTAAATAAAATACATTTTTTTGTCCATCATTATCACACTTTATACCTGTACAGTTCATGTCTACCCTTTCCCTTATAGCTTTTCGATTTCTATTGTGCTTGAATAGAGTTCTTCTAGGATATATAAATAGCCTAAAAATTCTTAGAAACTTTTGTCATATGTATTTAAACCTGTAGTCTTGGACTTATTTTCCTATTTGATGTGAAATAAGGTCCATTTTGATAACCAGTAGTATTTGGATATAAATGCTAGCATATTTTCTCAATAACTCATTACCACTGAATGGAAGCATACATTTTGTCATACATTAAATTTTCCTCCATATTGAATTCATTTTCATATCCTTTGTTTTTCACTTATTTGTATTTATTCTTAGACCGTATTATTTCCATCATAGTGACTTAGAGTAACCCTTTTTTTTCCTTTATTGATTTTAGAGAGAGAGGAAATAAGAGGGAGAGAGAGATAGAAACATCCATGACAGAGAACATCGATTGGCTGCCTCCTGCATGCCCCCCACTGGGGATCGGGCCCACAACCTGGGCATGTGTCCTAACCGAGAATCGAACTGGCAACCTCTTGGTACATGGGTCGACACTCAACCACTGAGCCACACCGGCCGGACTAGAGTAACCGTTAATATTAGTTATAGCCAGGACTTCTTTGTGTCTTTTCTTGATAACTTTCTTGCTATTCCTAGTACTTTAAAAAATATATTTATTTTTTTTGAGTTGGCAATAATTATGATATAAAATTCTAACCTGTGAAATTCTAAATTGGGTGTCCCTAGCCACCCAATTTTTCTTTCAGCAGCCACTGTTAAGTTTTTTGTATATTCTTCCAAAAGTATACTAAGTACATAGGCATATATGTATATATCTCGTTTGTGTGGTTTTATTTTTATACAGATATGTAGTCTAGTTCATACTTTTAAAAAAACTTAATATATATTGGAGACTGTTCTATATCTCTTTATGTAGAGTTGCCTCATTCCTTTTGCCTAGATGTGAATTGTGTATTTCTAACCTCTCAGTGCTATGATTTCCTCATCTCTAAAACAGGGTACAGTATAGTATTGAACAATTCGTGGACTTAAGAGGATTCATTGAAATTGTATGTGTAAATGCCTGGCAGTAGCCTGGCACTTAGTAAGTGTTCAGTAAATGTTATTACTAATTATTATACAACTGATAGTGTAGGGAAATAATTGATTATGTCAAATACAGGAATTCTAAAATATTTCTAAAAAGAAACCTTGACCCGTAAAAGTACTTGGATGACTGGAAATGCGGGTAGCAATAAGAAAGTGATGTGCTCCAGATCTGAAGTGAATGGCCTGTCCTGAAATGTGCACTGTGGTTTTCTGCGGTGTCTTCATTTGGACCACTTGAATTTTGTCTTATTTCTGTCTTTTGGTTATAATTTAGGTTTGGGGTGCAGTTAGATGGTACTAAGGTCAGGGAACACAGGGGTACCCAAATTCTGCTATGGCCTAAGCCCTTTGCAGGCACAGAATGTTTTCAAGGGAATTGTGCCCACAGGGCAGGATGGCAAAGGGAAGTGTAGCACCTCTGTTATTGTGTGGCAGAGCTTAAATTGGATTAGAGCATCTGGACCCAAGAGGTGAAACAAATGAGTATGAATAAACTTTTAGGTGGAGAGTCAAGATTGGACAGTCTCTTGTGCTGCAGAAGGTCATGACCTTCTTCCCAGTGGGGAGGATGCAGAATAGAAAGCCCTAAAGAGCAAATTATACCAGTAATTGCTGGTAAAAGATAGGTGGCAGTCACAGATGAATTTCCCTTTGCTCTGGACGGAGTGGGGATGATGAGGGCAAGGCAGGGAGCCAATATTTTCATCCACCTGGGTTTTGTGTTGCCCAGAAAGTCATCCCTTTGCTTTTCTGCCTTAGCCCATTCCCCTCTGCTGGCTTCCCCATTCTGAAGCAGCCCAGTCCCCTCGCCTTCCCACCAAGCCCAAGTCCTCCAGCACTTCCTCTGCCTCTAGTGCTGAGAGGTCCCTGGGCAGTGATTACTCTCTGCAGGATTTATGCTCTGACGGCAGTCTTCTCTGTGTAGACAGGGTTGTATATGACTTTAACTTTGGGAGGTTTTTTAAATTAAAAAAATGTTTTTTGGTTCTTTATTGTTGAAATTATTATCGATACTCTTCCCCGCCCCCCATTGATCCCCTCCTTCCTGCTCCCATCCTGTTCCTGCTTTTCCCCACACTATTGTCTGTGTCCATTTGTTATGCATATATGCATATTAACTTCAGGAGTTTTAGAAAACTGGCTATTGAGTAAAATAAGTCAAAAGCTGAATTCAGCCTTTCAGTTAGAGGTTTCAGTTTTTGAATAGATATTTGAATTACACTTTCTTGTTTTATAAAATTGTAGTACTGAGAAAAGTCTATTTTTATTTTAGTTCCTCCTCTTGAAGGTTTCGTAATGAATCGAGTGCAAGGTGATTATTTTGAAACTCTCCTCTATAAGATATTTGTTTCAATTGATGAGCATACTAATGTTGCAGAGGTGAGTGTACCAACATCTTGTAAAAGAATTTAACATCAAGATTATATTTGTGTAAAGTAGGTAAAATTATTTGATGATATGGTTAAAATGTTTTAAAATTTTACACATGGATAGATCATGGACTGTTAATATACTTAAGTTATTCTTGAATAACTTTCTGCAAATATAAAAGTTGGTAAGTAACTTTTTTCAGGACCTTACAGTCTTGCACCTTGTAACAACATGAGAGAGGAACCCCATATATAACAGTGGTCCCATGAGATTATAATGGAGCTGAAAAATTTCTGTGGCCTAATGACATGGTAGCCTTCCTAAGGCCCTATGTGGCACAGTGGGTTACTGTTCTGTGCTGGTCTCAGTCTGTGGATAATAATACTGTCAGCTAGAAAAGCCTGGGGGCACACAACTGGGCCTGTGCGCTTGCCTTAGATTCTCCCCTTTCCAAACCAGTGTTACCACCGGACCTACCCTGTGGCTCTTAGTACAGCTTTGCAAGATGCCCTTCAGCAATATCCATTAGGAAACTGAAGAAAACAAGTTTCTCTCTTACAGGCCCTGGAGTGTACAAGGCACTTGCTATGGGGCAGGTCCAGGAAAAAACAAATAGCCCAAATGCTAGTTATTGATATTAAGATGTTCAAACCATGTAGCCCAGATGATCAGTTATGAATATCAAGATCTAAAACACAGGCGCCTCGAGGGTGGGGGTGGGGAGGCAGCCTGGCTCTTTATCCAGTCCTCTGGCTGGCGATGTGTGTATTCCAGATAGCCTTCCTTGAAGTGGACATCTCTGCAGTCAAAGCTTACACCAGGCACTTGAATTACAAATCAAAAAGCCAATTGTGGGGCTTAAATTATAATTACTCAGTTACTCACATGTTCACGGTGATGCTGGAGTAGACCCGCCTGCTGCGCTCAGGCAGTGGCAGAGTACAGCATGGGCGGTCACAGCGGGAGCGGGGCAGCTCGGTGCGGGAAGTGCCTCTGTGATGCCAGCACAGCCACGGGCAGTCTGGTGTCAGTTCTCAGAATGTACCCCAGTCTCTAAATGTCACGTGACTGTGTAGTAAAAAGGGCTGTAGACTATTGATAGCTGTAGGAACTTTCTTATTTTAAATGAGACGAAGGAATCTTAAATTGTTAAGGTCACTACTTGGATTCATACTACTTTAAACATCTTAGACATATGAAAAGAAGCAAATTCTGATTTCAAAATGTGTTCAGTTTTTCAATTTTTCATAATTTAATTTTTGCTGATTATGGTTAAAGTCTGTGACTGTTTAAAATGCTAATAATTCTAAGAATGTAAAATGGGTTTTTAATTTTATTTTCCAGCTTGCAAATGTCCTTGAGATAGACTTATCCCTGGTTAAGGTTTGTACTTTTTATACTCCTTTTAGTTACAGTGTAAATACTGAGTGGACTGTATTACTGGTTTCTCTCATAAGCTGCTGAGAAACAGAGGCAGTGAGACTCTGTTGGAGGAAGTGAGCACAGTAAAGGGGTGCTTACAGGATAGAAAAGAGCAAGGTCAGGACCCTGAATCAGTATTGCACCCATGGAGTGAAAGGGGGCACCCACACATCTGTGCAGAGCAGGAAACAGGCTACATCTGTGCAGAGCAGGAAACAGGCTGTCAATGTATAATGAGATAATTAAAGCAAGGGGGTGAACTTCTCCTACGTATGGAGTTCTAAGGGGAATAATAGGCCTACTGAAAATGTTTATTTCCGCTTCTGGGGTGAAATGTTCGAGGATTGCTATAGGTGTAGTCTGTGGTAATACGTTGTCTACAAAGGTTCTGATGTCTGGTTTATTTCAAATGCTCATTTCCGGTATATTTCTTCCAGAATGCTGTTTCAATGTATTGCCGATTGGGCTTTGCCCATAAGAAGGGACAAGTAATAAATCTGGAGCAACTTCATTCATCGTGGAGAAATGTTCCATCTATAAACAGATTAAAGTAAATAATTTATTTAGTATGTGATATTAGAATTTTCTTTAAAAAAATATATAGTTTTACATATAAAACTTTTACTTCTTCACCCTGTCATTTGAGGTAACCCTTTATATTAGTGTTTTGTTTTTAAATATTCTTACTGATTTTCAGAGAGAGAAAAAAACATTGATATGAGAGCATAACATCCATCAGCTGCCTCCTGCACGCCCCCTATCAGGGATTGAGCCTGCAACCCGGGCGTGTGCCCTGACAGGAATCAAACTGGCAGCCCTTTGGTGCATGGGATGATGCTCAACCCACTGAGGCACACTGGCCAGGGCCATTAGTGGTTTATAAAAAAAATTTGGTGTGTGGGTGATGAATCTTCTGTAGAATCTGAGGAAAACTCAGAACCCTCTCCCCAGTAAAAAGCATGAGCAATATTTCACATATGATTTTAAAGGGTTTTCGAATTCCTTGAAGCCTACCCACGGGTCTTGGTTAAGAACCCTTGCTCTATGAGGGCATGACATTTGGGGGCTGCATCTCAATTTCATGCTTGCATATGACTTGATTTAGATGGAGTTTATAATTTAAGTACTGACTTCATTAGCTACTTTTATATATGATCATTTACATGATTTTTAAAAAGTGAATGATTTCTTCATTAATAGGAGTACTTTAGATCCACAAAAGATGCTCCTGTCCTGGGATGGCGGGGAAAGCAGGAGTCCCATACAAGAAGCTTCGTCGGCTACTGACACCGATACAAACAGTCAGGAAGATGCAGGTTAGCAGTTCCTCAGTTGGATTTGGAGTTCTCTACATGTGTCTGCACCTGCACTCACACAGGGAACTCTCTAGACTTAGTTATTTCATGGTTTTGTTCTAGATTTCACTCACTCAGTGTTCAGTCTTTGAGTATACTTTCCAATATGTTGGGCACCGTGCTATGTCTCAAGAGTATAAAATTGACAAGAATATGGTACCTTCCTTCTAAGAGTAAACTCTAGGGAGAGAGAAGGCAGTGTAACCACAGAAACCACAGCAGTGTGGGAAATGTTACAGTGCTTGTAGGAGCAAAGAGGAAAGAGCCCCCTTACTGCCTAGAGGGGTGCGGGAAGCCCTCAGGGAGAAGAGGACGTGGGCTAAGAGTGAGGAAGAGCTGGCTAGCTGGTCAGTGGGGGAAGGCTGAGCACGGAGGGAGGCGGAGCATAGTGATGAGGAGGCCGCACGTGGTTTCATGTTCAGGGGGAGGAGCACAGCCCGGCTCCCAGTTCTTCCCCAAGTGGCCCTGTTACCTAAGCCAGGTGACTTGTTAGGCTCGTTAGTCTTATTGATCTGACTGGTTATCAAGTCTTGGTTCATTATTACTTTTCAAGAAATTTACTACAAAAGTGAGTGCCTTTAAAATATTTTTAAAAAGATGTTTTTATTGATTTTTTTTTAAAAAGAGGAAGGGAGAGAGAGATAGAAACATCTATCAGCTGCCTCCTGCACGCCCCCTACTGGGGATCAATCCCACAATTCAAGCCTGTGCCCTGACTGGGAATCTAACCGGGACCTCTCAGTCCATGGGATGATGCTGAATCATTGAGCCATGCTGACTGGGCAATATTTTTTTAAAAACTTTATGTTGGAGATAATACTGGGACCTCTTATGTTGATAATATTGCTTATATACTTTATGATTATTTAAGTCAAAATGATAAGCAAATCATAAGCAAAGAATACTTTTCTTTTACTTCATTTTAAATTACGATTTTTTTCCAGCTGACACAGCCAGTGTAAGCAGTTTAAGTTTGTCTACAGGATATACAAAGCGTATTGCATTTCTGTTTGACTCAACTCTCACTGCCTTTTTAATGATGGGAAATCTTTCACCAGTAAGTCAAATTCTTATTTAAATATAAAAATGTATAAAATAAAGATTAGATATAAAATAATTCAGTGCTGTGTATTTTTTTATTAAGTACTAGATTTATTCTTGAAAACATAACTGCCTTTGTTTATATTCCTTAGAGGAATATAGTAACTTTTTAAAAAAATCCTCAACCAAGGATATTTTTTTCCATTTATCTTAGATGGGGGCAGGGTGGGGGGTGGAGGCATAGAGAGAGAGAAACATCTACTGGTTGCTTCCCGCATAACCCCAAATCGGCCAGGGACGAACGCAATAGAGGTACATGCCATTGGCTGGAATCGGACTCACGACTCATTGGTCCTCGGGCTGACACTCTAACCGCCGAGCCAAACTGGCCAGGGAAGTAACTTTTTATTGATGGTTCCTTTTGTGATTAGAAGAATCAGCTTCTCACCTCCCCCACCCATAAGTTTAAATATATTGGAAAGAATAATATAAATATAAGATGCTATGCTCAGCATAAAAAGGGAAAACTAGAATTTGAATGACTTGTATAAGGCACTAAGATACATTTTAGTGTTTTTATTTTTGCCTTTTTATGACAGAACTTGAAAAGCCATGCAGTCACCATGTTCGAAGTTGGCAAGCTCTCCGATGAGTCTCTGGACAGCTTTCTTATCGAACTGGAAAAGGTAAATCTAGGTTGCTTATTATGGGCTCTCAGGGCACTTGGAACCTTTTCTTGTTTGATAAAACATCAGTCATTGATTTCTGTAGATTTTTGGTATATTCTTGCTCGTTTCTACCTCATTTCTACCTGAACACCGTGGTAGTCAGTTAGATGTAAACATAATGAGTAGATGAATGAATTTTGTGATTTTAAAAATGATTTGTCTATCTCATCTAACTCAGCATAATTTGATATAAGGAAGAAATTTGGTATAAAAATGTTAGTCGTGTAAATTTTTAAATTGCATTTTTCTAAAATAGCCCGTATGTATGTACGTGTGAGTCTCTAAGACCTCCTCTTTTTTTTTTTTATCCTCACCCGAGGATATTTTTCCATTTTTTGTACAGATAGAGTGGGAGGGAGAGAGAGGAAGGGAGAGAGAGTGAGAAACATCGACGTGAAGGGACACATCGAGTGGCTGCCACCCGCACGACCAACCAGGGCCGGGGACAAACTGCAACCGAAGTATGTGCCCTTAGCGGGAACCGAACCCGGGTCTCTCCGGACCGCAGGCCGACGCTCTAACCGCTGAGCCAAACTGGCCAGGGCTAAGACCTCTTAAACAGTTTCATTTGAAGTTTTCGTTCCACCTATCTTAAATCTGGAACAGTGTCCCTGGGTATCATTTTATGTCCACTGTCAACTTGAAGGCTCTTGAAGACTTCAGCCATACAGGGTGGGGCAAAAGTAGGCTTACAGTTGTTTGTGTGCCAAATAATACAGTAATTAATAACTAATGGTACAAGAATAAACTTGGTGTTTCATGTACTTAGGACTGTATACCTACTTTAGTACGCCCTGTATTTGCTCTTAACCACCTTTTTCCCTGTGAGGCAGCCCTAGTTTCCTTTAGCTCTAAATCTCGATTGCCTTGTGAGTGTTTTTGTGCCCTGAATACTCATTCTGTCCTCTGCTCTTTATGCAAACAGCTGTGTGCCTAATGTGTTTCTTGACTAGTAATTGTGGTACCTTTTGTGCTTTAGTGATGAACGCTGTGTATTAAATGGTCTTTTTAGAAAATTGTTGATGATTTTGTAAGTTCCTTTATATCCTTTTTTTTTATATATAGCAAAATTCACTCTGTAGTGTACAGTTTTTTGAGCTTGTTTCCAGTTTTGTGGTATAATGGATATAAACGTATGTGTGAACGTAAGTTTCCATGTCTCTTAATTAGACATCAGAAAAAGGGATTGCTGGGTTACGTGTCACTTACATGTTTACCTTGACTAGCAATTCCCAGAATATTTTCCACGGTTGCTGTTCTCTTTTTGCGTTGAAGCCAGCAGTACATGAGTTCAGGTTGCACTGTGTCTGCTGTGTGGGTATCTTTGATTTGAGGTTTCTCTGGGTATGCAGAGGTATTTTATTGTAGTTTTAGTTTGCATTTCCTAATGACTAATGATATTGAGCACCCAAATTTGTTATTTTTCTTCCATATTTACGTTTGATATTAACATTATTAGTATAGATGCTAGTATATGCCCTCTGTCTATCTCGTTGGTGAAGTGTTTTCACATGGTTTGCGTATTTTATTGGGCTATTTGCTTTTCTTATTACGTTTTTAGTGAACCATGTATGTTTCAGGTGCAAATCCTTTTCAGGTTTGTCTTATGCCAAAATTTTCTCCAGTCTGTGACTTGTTTTTTCAGATTGGGTATGCTGTATTGTAGAATTGTACACCTAAATCCTGTATCTTTTTTTTTTTTTCTCTTAATCCTCACCCGAGGACATTTTTCCATTTTTTGTTCAGATAGAGTGGGAAGGAAAGGGAGGGAGAGAAACATTGACGTGAAAGGGACACATCGAGTGGCTGCCTCCTGCACTATCCAGCCAGGGCCGGGGACAAACTGCAACTGAGGTCCTTGCCCTTAGTGGGAACTGAACCCGGGTCTCTCTAGATGGCAGACCGATGCTCTAACCACCGAACCATACCAGCCAGGGCTAAATCCTGTATCTTAAAAAAAGACTTCCCATAACATTTTTTCATTGCTCCTTCTCCATAGAATTTTTTTACTTTTTTAGCATAGAAATAGATTTGAGATTAATTCTTGTTATTAATAGGTCTCTTTTAGTTCTAAATGTCCTTTATTTCCTAAATACCTTTTACATCTTATTAACCCTGTTTCTTATGTATCATCTTTTGCTAATACATTTTTATTATATTCTTGTACATTTTAAGTTCTGTTTTCCTGATTTTTATGTTTCTTACCTCAACTAATCTTTTATCCAATATAGCAAATTGGAAAGTCACTTTTACTCTTTACATATCTATATTCTTTCTTACCACAGTCTTTCTTGGGAAAGCCTATTAGTGTGACGTTTAGTTTTTAAAAATAGTTTCTTAGCTATTTTTTAAGAAGTCTCATCTTGCTTAAATTTAATTGGTTGATCTTATTTAATGCAAATCTAATTTAGTTATTTCTTTCTGTAGATCTGTTCTTACATGTTCTGTGTTGTTTCTGGGATGTATGTGTTTTTACATATTAAGCACAGGGTCAGAAGAACATGCATTAAAATGTAAGCCCCGTGAAGGCCAGGGTTTTGTTCAGGACTCTATCCTCACATCCTAGACAGGTAACAGCACATAGCACTTCAGTGGGACTCGGTAAATCCTTGTTGAATAAATTTAAGCTGTGTTTTCAGCAATGGTCAGTAGCTATCTTGAGTCACATACTTTATCGTCCCTTGTAACCAGTGATACAAAATTGTGAAGAGGGTGGTGAGAATTAGATGCATAGTTGGTGACGTTTAGATTGCAGTGCTTTACTGGATGAAGCAGAGTATAGATCTTAGAGGTTTTTAAGCACCCTATTGGAATCATACATGGGATATATAATTTGTATAATGGTATGATTTAACATTATTTGGTTGCTAAAATTGTTAGTTTTATTTGTTAGGGTAATTCCTATTCTCTTCAAAGATGTGGTCAAATGGAAAATCAGTAGAGATTGAGGTTAATATTTGTATCAATATTGCCTGGGCAAATTTTTAATAGGATTTTTAATAATGTCTTAGTATCTCTACTCTATGGTTACATACTAGAATGAATGGCACAAGAGTGGTATTTGATGGGAAATTTATTTTCTCTTGATTCAGGTTCAGAGCACTGGTGAAGGAGAAGCACAGAGATACTTTGACCATGCACTTACTCTGAGAAACACAATACTGTTTCTTCGTCACAATAAAGATCTAGTTGCACAAACTGCACAGCCTGACCAGCCCAATTATGGTATGAGATAGATATACACTTGATTTTGAAGATGTGATGCTGCAGAACTTCTTTCTAAGAAATTAAATAGGTCACGCTCACTTATTTAATACATTTTGTGTGAACATATTGCATTTCTAGCCAGAGGCTTGTTTTGTAAATTTCTTTGCTTGTCAACTGTTTCTTACCTTATTTTACTATTTCTCCTCTTATGTGCCACTGACATTTGTAGTATTTAAATCTGATTAGTACCTACAAGGCGGGTTGGAGTGTTAATTTGTTTAAGTAGCTAGATGGAATTTAGAATAGGCACTAGTTCTGAGGGATGAACAGATAGCCAACATTTAGTTAATGTAAGAAGCATAAATTTTCAAGAATGAAAGATTTCATTACATCATAAACAGGAGTTTCCTATTCAAATGCTGCTGGAATATTATTTACCAAAGTATTTTACTTTAAAAAATAGACAAGGGAACAGATAACCTCTATTTAAAGAGTAAAAGAAAGTAGTGCAGTTTTAATCTGTTGGCGAACGCCCATGTAGCTGTTGCCTTTGGGTGCACTCAGTTTTGTGACAGGGAGGGAGAGCCCAAACTTGAGTTGAACTGATGGTGTCGGAATTTCCGATTCTGATTCTGTAGGTTCTGGGTTGTGGAATGGCACCAGGAATGTGTGTTGTTTAATAGATGGAATGGCTTGAGCACCTGGGTAAGAGCATTTGGCTCAAGTCCTCGGACATTCATAAGAGATGCATCTTAGGACTTCGTGAATTCTTCGCACCATTGGAACATTTAATTTCACTCATTCTTTCTAATCCGTAACCTTATTTTTTGTCTTTTATGACATTTCTGTTTTTTTGAGAACATAGTCCCTTTCTGTTGGTTTTGCTAGAAAGTTTCTCACCTTGGTTGTATGTGATATAGTTAGTTTCAGGTTATACATTTGCATCTAGACTATTATGTGAGGGAATGCCATTTGGAGGCATATGATTTCCACCTGCTCCCCACGGATGATGTTAATTTTGATAACCCAGTTAATGTGTTTTCTGCTTTCTGTGTTGCACGGTTAACTATTCTTTCCCCACCCAACCCAGCAACTAGTAAGCAAGCTGTGGGTAGATGCTTTAAGACGATGCAGATAGCCTATGCCTGTCAGTGTTTCCTCCTAGATTCTGATCCATTGATGATTCTTGCCTGGACAATTCTTTATTTTTTCCAACTCCAGCACTTCTTCCATTTGACAGTTAAGACTGGGCATTCTTTTTATTCTCAGTACGGATTTGTGAATTCTTATTTTTTTTCAGTGGTTTATAATTAGTCATTCCTGTCTCTTAATTATTTTATGCTACAGTTGTCTCAGATTTTGCCAGTGGGATTTCCTTCAAGCTGGCTCCTGTCTCCTTGTGCCATGCCTCTATCTTAAAAAAATTTTTTGAGCAGTTTTTTACTTTCTGGCAAAACCGTCTTTTCTTGTACTTCTGCCCAGCCTTGGAGTCAGTCTTTTTTAAAATTTTAAACGGAACATATGGTATTAAGCTTAGGCCTTGGCCCTAGTTGTGCTCAGGCCTTCTAGGCCCTTTCAGCAGGCCATGTATTGTTTTAGATGCAGCTCGCTTGACAGAGGAAATGAAGTTTCTTTCAACCTTACATACCTCTTTAGAGAGTAAGTAGGATTGGTGTTTTCTAGAAGAGTTAAGAATGGGAACCTTAGATCTGTTGCACGCTGAGTGAATCCATGCTTTACGGAGCAGCAGTCCAGGCGCACGTTTCTAAGTGTGGAACTTTGGCTCCTAGGCCACAGTCAGAACCTGGGGGAGGGAAGAACACAGCTTTCCTGTGGCACTGGGGCAGAGAGGACGAAAGGTAAAGCAAGTACTTTTTTTTTAATCCTCACCTGAGGATATTTTTCCATTTATCTTGAGAGAGAGAGAGAGAGAGAGAAAGCAACATCGATGTGAGAGAGACACATCAATTGGTTGCCTCCTGCATGACCCTGACCAGGGCCAGGGATCGAACCACAACCGAGGTATATGCCCTTAACCGGAATCGAACCTATGACTTTGATCTGCGGGCCAACGCTCTAACCTCTGAGCCAAACCAGCCAGGGCACAAGACTTTTTTAAAAGTAAAAGATAGTTTATGCCCTGGCCGGTTTGGCTCAGCGGTTGGAGCGTCGGCCTGCAGTACAGAGAGACCCGGGTTCGGTTCCCGTTAAGGGCACGTACCTCGGTTGCAGTTTGTCCCCGGCCCAGGTTGGTCGTGCGGGTGGCAGCCACTCGATGTGTTCCTTTCACATTGATGTTTCTCTCTCTCTCTCTGTTCCTCTCTCTCCCTCCCACTCTATCTGAACAAAAAATGGAAAAATGTCTTCGGGTGAGATAAAAAAATAATAATAAAAAATAAAAAAATAAAAGTAAAAGATAGTTTAAACCTGTTAACCGAGCAGGTCGTATAAATACGTCAAACGTTGCATACAGTGAAAAGGGAATTTCCCAGTTAACAGGTTAAAGAAATACCAGAAGACAGTTGTCTTTTTAGACCAGGAATAAACACTATTAGCTTTAAATCTTAAAAGTATCTTCTTAGTGGTTCCTTAGGAAATTTGGTTCTTTCAATATTCTACCTTGAGAAATAATTTAAAATCTACAAGTAGTTAATCACTATTTTGTCTGGGACATTTTTGTTTGTACTGTCAGTCTCTCATTCTCTGTGTATGCCTGGTCCCAATTCAGGATTCCCTCTGGATCTCCTACGCTGTGAAAGCCTTCTCGGTTTGGACCCTGCAACTTGCAGCCGAGTTCTAAACAAAAACTACACACTGCTTGTCTCCATGGCTCCTCTCACCAATGAGATTCGGCCTGTCAGCAGCTGCACCCCTCAGGTAGGGACCCACCGGAAGAAGGCTGGTGCTTCATTCCATCCTTCCTCGTGCTGACTAGGAGAGGGTGAGCAGTCCTCTCGGGTCAGTTCTCGGTTTTCAGATACCAGATCCAAAGCACTGACTTAGGAAGGAGCTGTGTGTTTTATGCTGTTGTAAGATGTTACATTCAATCTGTGAGGTATAATTGCTGCATTTTATTGGTGTATCGTCTAGTGATTTGCGACACAGCAGTTTAAAGTTTTCTTTTTAAATGCAGTCTTTTAAAGAGAACATTTTTGGATGCTGTAAGAGGGGAGTCTGGATTGCCTTGAGGGAAAGATAAATTTAATTAGGAAAAATGAATGTTTTAGAAACCGAAAAGAAAAGATTATACTAGAAAGGAGGTAGAATTCTGGTTATCTTTAAAATGTATTTGTGATAATGACTCTGGTTTTAACTTTTTAAAAATATAGCAGTCTGTTGATCTGTGTACTTAGCAAGGACGTTGTGGTCTGTGCTATTTTCAGAGTCGGGATTATGTTGCTCTTTTTCAGGGTTATATCCTGCTTGGTTTCCTAGATGTGCAAGGTTTAATGGTGTAGAAGCAAGGAAGGGATTCTTGTAGACGGGTGACTTTGTTGCCTGTGCTGATCTAGCTGCCTCAGTGAGCCACCCTCCCCCCACATGCATCCTCTATTCAACTAGAGTGGTTGTAGGTTTGCATTTACCAAACTTTTCTTGTAATTCTTTGTGTGCCCCTTCAGTTCCATCCCACTACAAACTTCTATTCTGTAACACAACCTCTAGGCATAGTAAGAATTCTTGAACTGTAAATGAATGGGAGGACAGGCCCTTTTGGGAGAAATTGCATGTGATTAATAATAATAACAAACACTGTGATATAGAGCTTACCATATACCAGGTACTATTTTAAACATTTTTGAACAACCCTACTACATCCCTTTGAGGTAGATATTTTACTGCTACCTTACAAAAGAGCAACACGAGGGCACAGAGAGCTTAAGTAACCTTAAAGGAGATAGACTGAGGGGATGAAGCCCAGATGTAAACCTCGGTGGTCTGCTTCAGCATCTATTTCCTTAATTGCAGTGCTGAGGCGTGTTTTCTTAGTTCCAGCATAAAATTGTAACTATTTGAACAGAGCATTTAACAGTTATTTTCATGAGTATAATAGCAATGAACATTTGTATCAGGCATTAGCTGTTAATAAAACTACACTTGGCCACTTGTGAAATTTGGCTTTTTTAGACAAGTATTATAACTTTACCTTATTTACTTTATGATTACAGCATATTGGACCAGCTATCCCAGAAGTCAGTTCTGTCTGGTTTAAACTGTACATTTACCACGTCACTGGGCAGGGACCACCATCTCTTTTGCTGTCCAAAGGTACAAGACTTCGAAAACTGCCAGATATTTTCCAGGTGTGTTGTATGAGATTTATTTGTTTTAATTATTTTTGAGGAAGGTAGAAATTGGTAAGTGGTATTATAGATAAATTTCTTAAATTTTTTTTCATATTTCTAAACACCATTTTATCTTTTATTAATTTCTTTCCCATAGGGTTATGATCGATTATTAATAACGTCTTGGGGTCATGATCCTGGGGTAGTCCCTACATCAAATGTGCTCACAATGTTGAATGATGCTTTAACACATTCGGCGGTTTTGATTCAGGTACAGTTACTTTATTTGAATCAATCCATTTTGGACTTTGAAAAGATTTTAATTTGTGTATCTTTGTGCTGAGTCGCAATCAGATGGCAGTAATTCGAGATTTGTAAAGCCGGAACGTAAGAAATCAGACCCGGGTCGCAGTCCTGGCCTTTGGCGGTGCGCAAGTGGTGGGCTGTGTGGACTCCGAGGGTAGGCCCGGCTTGGCGTTCCGCCCGTTGTCACCCCTGTGGCTGCATTGGTTTTCCTTCTGGGAATAGCTTTATGGAGATATAATTCATGCAGCATACAGTTTATCAATTTAAAGTGTACAGTTTTCTTTTAAGCATACATTAGTTCCTCTTATTTGTGGTTTTAATCTGTGGTTTCAGTTACCCATGGTCCACCGTGGTCTGAAAATATTAAATAGAAAATTCCAGAAATAAATAATTCACAGATTTAAATTATATACCAAGGGTAGCATGATGAAATCTCTAGTCATCCCATCCTGCTCTGTCCGTCATGGGGTGAATCTTCCCTTTGTCCAGCGTATCCACACTTGTATGTGCTTCCTACCTGTTAGTACTCAGCCATCTTGGTTATCAGATTGGCAATGAGAGAGGGAGAGAGATAACATTCATGTAACTTTTATTTCAGTATATTGTTATAATTGTATTTTGTTATTAGTTACTGTTGTTAATCTCTTACTGGGCCTAATTTATAAATTTAACTCTATTGTAGGTATGTATGTATATATAGGGAAAAACATAGTATATGTAGGGTTTGGTTCCATCCTTGGTTTCAGGTATCCTCTCGTGGTCTTGGGATGCATCCCCCATGGCTAAGGGCAGACTACTGTAGTCACAGATATTTGCAGCCAGCACCATACTCAATTCTAGAACAATTTCATCACCTCAAGAAGAAATCCTGCACCTTAGTTCCCGTTCCGCTCTTCTCCCAGTCCCCCAGCCCTGAACAGGACTAATCTGCTTGCTCTCTCCCTAGAATGCCTGTTCCGGGCATTCCATATACATGAAATTATATAATATGTGGCCTTGTGACCGACCTTGTTTACTTGGCAAATGTTTTTAAGGTTTATCATGTTTTAGCATGTATCATACTGTATTCCTTTTTATGGCCGAATAATAGTCCCTTCTATGAATATACCACATTTTGTTGGTTCATTTATTGCTGATGGGTATTTGGGTTGTTTCCACCTTTTAGCTATTACGAATCATAATAACCACTGTTATAAACTTTCATATACAAATTTTTGTGTGAACATGTCATTTCTCTTGGGTATATGTCTAGGAGTGGAAATGCTAGGTCAAATGATAACTCTTACGTCTAATTGTTTAAGGAACTTTCAGGCTGTTTTCCAAAGTGGCTGCACCATTTTACATTCCCACCAATACTTGGTATTTCCTGACTATTACAGCCAACCTAGTGGGTGTGTAGTGGTTATCTCACCGTGGGGGTAGATGACATGTTGTGTTGTGGGCACGTCGAGTATAAAGTGTCTGGGAACTTTGGGTGGTAGAGAAATCGAGTAGGTAATTGAAAGTACTGTGAAATTTAAATGAGAGATTGAACAGGAGAAATTGATTTGAGTGTCGGCATCAGTATGTAGATGGCTGAAAACCACGAGAGAGGATGCATTCGTCCACCCTCCCCTTCCCCCAGGAAAAGCATGGAGCAGGGGTAATAGTGGGAAATATCGTAATGGAAGGGGTTAGACATGGACCTGCTTAAGTGTAGGTCTTGATTCCAACACTTATTAGTAATCTTGGGCTAGTTAAATAACCTTCTTGAACTTTGGTGACTTCGCCTGCCAAATGGAGATGATAAAAGTTTCATTGTAAGGTTGCTGAAAAGAATGACGGACATGGAGAATCTGCATAAAATGCTTAGTCCTATATTTAATACATAAGATCTCAAAAAATCGTAGCTCTGGTGGTCATGGGAGTAGTAGAGAGAGGGAGAGCATTTTAAAGTGTTTGTTAAGGAATTTTGCTTTTGCTAAAAAGGAATGTTTCCTTTAATTATGTTCTGTGGAAAAAATTTACTTCACTGTAACTTACAACCTAACAAAATTAAGATTTTAATTAAAACCGTGCTTTTATTATAAAAGGGTTTAAATCATAAATGTATCAGTGAAATAGAAGCAGGGTGACAGAAATATATTCAAATTGTTATATGAACAAACTAAATGAGTGATTTTTCTCTGAAATTATTTTTCTTTTATATCACAGTGTCTCTTGAATTTGAATGATGTATGGATCTTTTTCATAGGGAAAAAGTATAACTCCCATGTTAAATTTTCTGTTGTAATGAAACTAAATACACATAAACATGAGCTTAAATTTTTCATGCTTATTATTCTTGCATAACTGTAAATCCAAAACAAATTTAGAGGTTAAATACAAAAAACGTTAAAACTGACAAAATTTAAATGAGGAACGTGAATTGAATGTAATGGATGAAACTAAATTATTATTTGTAACATTGGAGTGAGGTAGTTGTACGCAGATATTTTTTAATTTAATTTTTGAATTGATAACATATTCACATGATTCAAAAATAAAACGCTATTGAAGGATGCACAGAGAGATCACTGCCCGGCTCCCACTGCCACGCCCATCTCTGTCCAGATCAGAGCACCACATGCCTTGGTCCCTCCGTCTGGTAGAGTCCTTAGTGCAGGAGCAGGTGTGGGCACACGGACACACCCCGCACTTTTCCACTGGCACTGGAGGTCTTGCCATTTCAGTCTGTAGAGAGCTTTCTCTTCCTTTTTTTTTTGCAGCTGAAAATACAGACATTAATTTATTTCACCATTCCCCTATTGACGGGCATTTTGATTGCTTCCAGTTATATATTATTATGATATTGCAACAAGTCATTTTGAATATATGTCATACAGTGAAGGTTTTTGAGTTTCCCACTTCTAGTCCATGGTATACCAGGTGCTTATGGGGATTTTCAGCAGTTCTGTCTCAGAACTAACTGTGCCTGTGCACTTGATCTCACTCAGTCTCTACTTGGCTGACACCCAATTTACCTGTTAAATTAGCCTCCTTTTAAAAATTTAGCCCATACACTCAATTTGAGATACATTACCTTGTAGGTTCATATATACTTAAGATTGTCTTTGCTTGCTGGAGAAAAACAGAAAATTGTCTAAAGCACTTTGATGGAGTATTAATGTGGAATATGTCAGCACGTGGTCCAATCTTATTTAGAACTTGCATAACTTGTTGGAAATGTAGGATTCTCATATACCTTCAAATTGTGTTCACGTTTAGGGACATGGTTTGCACGGGACAGGAGAAACTGTCCACATACCGTTTCCATTTGATGAGACAGAACTACAAGGAGGTACCTCACTTCTGATTTATATCCGTTTGACGTCTTTATCGTTAATCTTTGTCACCAGTTTAGTGGAAAACATAGCAGGAAGCAAATGCTTAAAATTTTGAAGTTTTAGGGTCTTGCCATTCTGTTTTTAAAGAGTATTGTCCAAAGGTAGTTTTCTGTCGTGTGCTTTTTCTACAAAGAATTGCTAGAGTAAGACTTACTTGGGACCTTTGGAAGAATACGATTCTGTCTTGGAGATGAAGAGAGTAAGGAGTATTATCTGCCCAGATGGACAGTAGGTGTTGTGTGTTTAGTCTCTTAGTTTCCTTTTATTGATTATTTTTTGAAGCAAGCCATAGGGAAGATTTTATGCTTTGATTTTTTTCCTCCCCTAATGTTACACACTGGTTTTCTTTCAGGGGCTTTTAGTTACTGTAGAAACAGGTGCTAATGAATGTTTGTATCCTACTTCACAGTTTACAGAGCACTTACTATTTCTTGTTTCAGCAGTTGTTTTTTATTGTTTAATTTCATTGTTGCTGATGAGAAGATTTGCGTAGATTGCAGTTTGATCTAAATTAAGCTAGTTAGAACCAAGGGGAAAAGCCCTGTTTAATGTTACATCTTTCTAGAGTTGGATGTGCAGGCTAGTATTTGATAAAGTTACAGAGAATTTCTGTAACAGCCAGCTCATTCTTCCTCTGGTCCAATAGAGGATACCTTTTCTCTGTTGACTATTAAGAAAATATATATTAAAAAGAAAAATACTATCTGGTTAAAACTTAACATATATTTACATAGCACTTGTGTTTCCTGCTCCATGCAAAACTGCTCTTCTATAATCTGTTTTTCTGTGAATTTGAGCCATATTGTATGGAGTTCAAGAGAGCAGTGAATGGTTCAAGGATTTTAACCCAAGTTCATTCATGTAAGAACTCACTGTCCTTTCAAAATGTTCGTCACCACTGTCTCCACCCCCCAGAGGAGGGGAAGGTGGAAGATTTTTACACGGTTAGACTTTCCTTTTCACATGGTTAGACTGCAGAAGCCTCACATTTGAAATTAAGTGCTCTCTTTTGGCTGTTGTGAATAAATGTGTACAAAATGTGGAGGTGAGTGTTTTTTTCCTTCAAAAAACAGCCACTTTTCAGAAATAAGTATTTGTCTGCAACTCTGCTGTTTAATCCTCTGATACTTTATAAGTTCTGTGGGGAAAAAATAATTGTTCATCTGAAGATACAGGGTAGTGACAAGAGTTAAAATGTCAAGAACTGATTGATAGATCTCTTACCTTGGGAGAGTATTGTATGAATTATAAAAAGGAGAAATCTCCATATTTGGATATAGAGCGTTTTTCTCTTTTGTAAGTTCACATATAAGAGCGTTAGCTAATATTTAAATAGTTTATTAGGGATATAATTTCAAGTATACTAGGTTTAGTTTCAATAAGGGTAATTTTACTTAAATTTAAAAAATGTATATTTAAGAAATTTCCTAGTAGAAGCCCACCAAGTAAGCATTTGAGGCAGAATAGAACCACAAAGAGAAGTCTAGATCTGCCACTGACTGGCTGTATTTGCTTACTCATCAGGTAATTTGTTCTGATATAACAAATGCCTCCTGAAGGCTATAAATGTGTATAGCATCCTTATATGTTCACAGATATTTTTTTCATTGGAATCAGTCTTGATAGATTAAAGTATTAAAGGAGTTCTAAGAAATGTTTAATAAAAGTATATTTTAATTTTTTTTGTGTTATTTTATGAAACTATTCACTTATAATTTGATGTCAACTCTTTGTTCATAGAGTTTACTCGTGTCAATATGGGTGTTCATAAAGCATTGCAAATACTGAGGAACAAAGTGGACTTGCAACATTTTTGTGGATATATCACCATGTTGAATGCTTCGAGCCAACTTGCAAACAGAAAACTCAGTGATGCTTCTGATGAGAGAGGTTAGCCAATAGTCGGATTTTGAATTAAGATCATTGGTGTTGCGTTGATCACAATCTTACTATTTTAAAAAGCATGGAGACTTTTGTAGAGATGTTGAATTATTTAATACTTACTGTTTTTTTCACTGAAGTATGAGAAAATATTCTTTGACATCATTTGAACAAGAATCAGTTGTTCAAATGGAGAAAATACTAAATGCATAACAAAGTGATGACCTGGGATTGGAATACAGAATGGTTATTAGGTTTTAGCTCTTTACTGTCATACCTGTGTTCATAGGCTTTAAATTAACTTCCCTTATGGGGTGATGGTTTCAAAATTTTAGCCTCTTTGTAAAGAAGTTCCGCACATAGAACTACCAGTTCTGCCCCGCAGCCTCTCTCTCTGGCACAGGTGCCATTGTCTCAGCTACCCAGGTCTGCAGTCTGGTCTTTGTCTTTCTTCTCCTTTTCCCGCTCTGTCCAGTTGTTTCCAAGTTCTGTGAATTTTAGTTTTTGGAAATGTCTCTCATATCCGTTTCTTCCCTTCTCTCTTCTAACTCTCTAACTGCCATGGGGTGAGTCTGGTTCGGTAAGCAGGTGTTTCTGCCCAGCTCTCCTGGCCCCGTTCGCCTTCTTCCATCTCCAGTCTCTGGGGTATTGACGGTGGCTATTTCCTTAGGTATCTTTTTCTTTCTTTTTAAAATTTTATTTTTCAATTACTTTTTCATGCTTACTAATCGTTTCTGGTCAGACATAATTTTGATTTGTATGTGGCTCTGGTTGCCATGGTGCCAGTGCTGGTCCATGACTCCAGGGAACCTTTCAATTCAATTGTCTGTCATCAAATGACTCTATTCCTTGAGCCTCGTAGTTTGCAGTCCTGAGAAAATATTTATTACTAGCCATCCAGTGGATTGGGTTGGCTCCCTTTGAGTTAGGTGGTCATTCCTGGTCCATTTACCTTCGGCCAGAGGATTTGGGTAACTTTTTTTTGACATAGCAGGTTTTTATATTTATTATTGCTGTGTAATAGGTAATTTTCAACAGTTGACTCCCAAGTGTCACAGGGGCGTTTTCCAAAGAAGGCTAATGGCCAGGCAGTCATTACAGCATGTCGGCGGCAGTGTCGTGTTTTATTTCATTCCACAGACATTTATGGAATATCTGCATAGTTGCTGGGGACGTTTACATTTGTAAGCCCTAAGGAATAATACCCTAGAGAGGGAGACGAGCCAGTGAATCAGCCTGCAGTGGAAAGACTGCGATAGGTTCTGCTTTAGCTTACAGTGCTGACGTAGGGCAGAAGGCAAGGTCAGCCCCGCTGCGGTCAGGGAGGCCTCGTAGAGAAGGTAACGTTTGAACTGAATTTTGAAAAATGAAGAGTTATCTACACAAAAAAGAATGGTTGTTTATTTGGAGGGTAGCAGCCTTTCAGGCAGAGGGAATTGGAATAGAACAGCTTGTGTTGGCCAAAAGAAAAGATTTATTGGACAGTAATAGATGAGAGTAGAGAAGTAGGTGAGATCTTGGAGCATCCTATATGCTGAAAGATACGGGAAATCCAAAGAATTTTGAAGAGGAGTGCTGTTAACAGACTGAGTATTTCCGTGGGGCTAGAAATAACTTAGTAATGATCTAACTGAAAGTCTAAACTTCTCTTCTGCCTTTTGGATCCTTGCTTCTACGACCTCAGCACTGTTTATGTTCTGAACTTTATTGTGGGGGCTGCCCTGTGCATTGCAGCATATTTAGCATCCCTAAATATTAGTAGCATGCCTGTTCCCTTTCATGACAACCAAACCTATCTCCAAGCATCGCCTAATGTCCCTTGGGGGACAAAATTGCCCCCAGTTGTGAACCACTGCTTTAAGGCTAAGGACGATTCTTTGCTTTCCATTGCCATTTCTGTTGTCTGAATCCTCTTTTATGTTAGGATTGATTTATTGATAACTTACACCATCTACCAGGATCTTAATATTATGTTTGTCCTTAAATTATAAGGCGAACCTGATTTGGCTTCTGGCTCAGATGTAAATGGGAGTACAGAGTCATTTGAAATGGTCATTGAGGAGCCAACTATAGATTTAGCAACTAAGCAAAACTCTGGTAAGTTTGTTTGCAATCTTAGACTAATTTCTGAGGTTTAACTCTTTTGCTAAGTCATTTGGATGTCATTTGTTTGCTGTTATTATCCATAATGGACCTTTAAATAATTTTCTAGGAAACATTTTTATATATTTAGAGTAATAAAGTACTATAAAAGTATGACCTGAGAGTAATGACTTAGGTTCATTTTCCCTGTGTTAAATATTTTGGTTAATTCTCTCATCTTGTAGATATCTTACAATTTGGGTAAAAGACCAACCACTTGGAACATCTGATGAAAACTAGTACCTTCTCCTCAGAAGCATGTACATACTCAAAAACATTCTTTCATATTTCAGAGATTCACTAACACCCCGCCCCCCTGCTAAGCCCATTGGTGGGGTGGGAGGAATCTGAAAATCCATGGACCTCAGTTAAGTCATTATATAAGTCATTCTGAGGTTTATGTAATATATATACATGATTAATAAGTTTATTGTCCTTTTGTAGTTGCCACAACAGAAGCAGATTGGGTTCCTCTCGAGCTGTGCTTTGGAATTCCACTGTTTAGTTCTGAATTAAACCGGAAAGTTTGTAGAAAAATTGCTACCCATGGCCTTTGCAGGAAAGAGAGGTGAGGGTTTATATTCATTGATATCTTTTTATCTATGAGACTTTTAAGTCACTGGTAGTTACTGTGTCTTTTCTTTCTTTTATTTCACTCATGAACATAGTAATTACCTGTGTATATTTGTTGGTTGAATAAAGGTTGCTAATTTAAGGGTTTTGCTGTTTTCAAAGTTAAACTTTTGTACCTCAGCAATTAGGCACATGCAGACATTTGGGGCACATGTTTTGGTTAATTATACTTAGTTACCCAGATTTGGTGAGGGTGTGGTAAACTGAGAATGCATGAATATATGAGAATATATGAGAGTATGAGCCTAGTTTTTTAGAATATGGAAACATCTGTAGAGAATTTCTCTTGGGGACTTCTCTTACTCTTAACATACACATACTCAGGTTATGTTCATAGTGATTATGTCTTGTGGTGGAATTCTAGCTAACTTGAAATTTTCTTCAATTTCCATATTTTCTAAAATGAGCATGTATTACTTATCAGCGATGACATGTAGGTTTTCTCTCATGACAACTCGGATCCATTGGTCGTGCTGCTAAGGAGTTATATTGTAAAGGTTCTGAAACTGTGTTAGTGGAAAAGAATATCATTGAATCTGGTTGTCATGGTGACCGACTTGGAGAGGTGATACTCACAGATCTGTTTGACTTATTTAGGAAAACAAAGTTGGATAATAATTAATTTAATTGGCTTAGTGTAGCTTATATCAGAAGATTAAAATACTCAGATAAAAAATAATTTTTAACAACTGTCCTCTGAAAAGAAGATAACAGACATGAATAAAAAAGTAGAAATATTGTACAGCTTTAAAGATTGCCACTATATATAGCCCTGGCCGGTGTGGCCCTGCAGTTAGAGCATCGGCCTGCGGTCTAGAGAGACCCGGGTTTGGTTCCCGCTAAGGGCACGTACCTTGGTTACGGTTTGTCCCCGGCCCCAGTTGGGGTCATGTGGGTGGAAACCATTTTGATGTGTCTCTCTCACATTGATGTTTCTCTCTCTCTGTACCTCCCTCTCTACCTCCCACTCTATCTGAAGATGAATGCAAAAAAAAGAAAAAAAAAAAGATTGCCACTATAATTGTTACCTATTTACCTTTTTGAAAAATATTTAATTTGGTGGGTTGATGTATGTTAAATCTGTCAGATTTCATAACTGCCATTCCTTCAACTGCATAAATTTTTAATTTTAAAAGGTTTCTTTGATTAACATTTATATTTGCTAATAGTTTAAACCTTTTTAACAATAATTTTAATTTTGGTAATATATGATGCTTTAGTTCAAAAATGGTCATTTTATGTATTGTTATTCCCTATTATTAAAAGAGGCAAAAATTTCATTCAAAAGAACCACTGAAATGGATTTAAAAATTTTTTAATGTGGTTAATCAGGATTTATATGCAAATATAAATGTTTTTAAGATGCTAAAATTACTCTTCTTAGATATTAGTCCTTGTCATTATATTTATTCTAAACATTTACTCCCTTTTTTTCAGCCTTCAGAACCTCTTACATTCCAGTAGAAAACTTTCTCTACAAGTCCTTAACTTTGTCCACTCATTCCAGGTAACAAAAACCAAAAGATTGAAATGGTATTTTTATAAGCTTCATATGCAAGACACTTCTGTGTTTGTTTTGAGTCTCCATAGCAGTAAGACATGAGATAAGCATTAATTTAAATTTATAAACAAAGACACTGAGATTCAGGAAGTAAACTGACTTGCACCTGATTTCATTGGCCAGATCTTCTGCTTCATTCAGCAGAAGGGTGTGAGCATCTGTTGCAGGCCATGGATCATGGGTGCTGGTTCTTGAGTCTGGTGCTCCATTAATAACTGCAGGGAGCCTCCACTGTCTTTTGTGGTAATGAAGGCCAGTGCGCTAGACCTTTCGTGTCCTGTGTCCCTGTCCCCTCCCCATACCCTCACCCCTACGCAGGAAAGAAAGGATACCCTAGACTTGATTTGTAGATAAATTTTTAGAATGGAATATTTCTGTTCAGAATATCTGATCTAATATTATAAAGTCAATATTTTGGAGTTTGTTTCATTCATTCTTTCAATAAATACTTGCGTCTACTCCATGCCAGACCTTCCACCAGGTGCTGAGGAAACAATGATGTCTAAGACACTAATGGAGCTTATAGTGTTGTACGAGACACATAGTCAGGCAAACACTGAAATACGTAAATGATCAGATCTCAGTAAGTACTCGGAAGGAGTTAGACTTCTTCAGATCTGATGGGCTCCAAAGGTAGACCTGTTTTAAATAGGTAGAGGTGGTAGATGATCTGAACCCACAGGATGAAAAGGGACATTGCAGGCAGAGCTCCGCAGCACCGAGGTCCTGTCTCAGGGAGCACTTGGTGTGCAAGGAGACAAGGCCAGTGTGGAGGAAGCCTCGTGCAGGGGGCGTGGCAAGCGAGGGGGGGGGGGATTCCAGAATATATTAAAGAATTTGTAGTTTATGCTGAGTCCAAAGAGAAACTACAGGGAATGCCATTATTTCTGATGAACAATTTTAAAAGATTAATTGTTATTTAGAGACTAGATTAAAAATGGACAAGCATGGAAGTAAGATCAGTTTGGAGACTATTTTAATAATCCTAGTGAGAGATGTTGATAACTGAGCACCCTTTTTCCATTAAAAATGAAACAAAGAAAACATTTTTGCTTGTATCGATAATGAAAGTGTTTAGTACACATGTATACTGTTATACCAATAAATAATATGTATTATAAAACATACACGAAAATAGAAAATTTTAAAGGGTGGAATAGAAGATACAAGATTTCTAAAATTCTCGTAATACCTGACTTGGGAGTGAGTTTGGAGACCACTGACCTAGATTGTGGTGGTGGCTATGGTGAATAAGATAAATTAATTTGGGATCCATGTAGGAGGTAGATTGACAGACTTGATAATTAATTAAATGTGAGGGAAAGATTGAGGGTGTGGCAGGAAGGGAAGAGTCCAGAGTGATTCTCGTATTTCTGACTAGCGTGATGTGGGGAGTAGGAAGGCTGGGGAGGAACAGATGAGGGAAGACTCGAGAGTTCTGTGAGGGACGTAGTAAGTGTGGTACGTGTGGGGCAACATCACAGAGCACAAGTAAGGTGCACTTGGAGCCTGGGGTTCTGGGGAGGGGTCTGTGCTGAACTGTGACATTGAGAGCCCTCCCTGGGAGTGGATGGGTTGTTTTGGTGCTTGATGCTCTGTGAGGGGTTTTAGAGATTTGTGAGAACTAACCTTTTCTTATGTCGTAGTCTCATAGCCTGTTATTTATCTTTATTTCAAAGCACAATCATAGCCTAACTGTATTAGTCATTTTTGCATATGTTAATACCTGTCATTGATTGTTTTGGTTCTTGAGGTAGGTCTCTGCATCTCCATTAGTGTTTTGCATTCCATAAACATTTCTCAGGTAATCAAGGTCTATTTTTCTCATTAGCTATACTAAGTGGTTTGGTAAAGTGTTGAATATGGAATTTTTCTCTTGTTTCTTGATCTTTAAGGAAGGTGCTTCCACACTGGATGTTCACACAGAGGCCAGCTTTTCAAGTTTGCTGTCCCAGTCATCCTCTGCCGATTTGGGAGTTCCGCTTCCCTCAAAGAACTTAATATTTAAAGACGGCATCTTATCAGAATGGAATGGACGATCACCTTCCTCGCTGCGTATTGCTAGTCTCCATCTGCAATAATTTGGTTACAGCATCTGTTGCTCACACCTTCTGCCTTTTTTCTTTCTTAACGTTAGCTTTATAGTGCCAGCCACTAAAAAGCATCCTGCCACTGCCGTGCAGCTCATGCTTAACTGGTGTTCAGAGTCTGGGGAACGTGTTCATGTTTTCTGAAGTTTTCCTCATCATTGCACCTCCTAATGCAAAGAGCTTTTTAGCAGCCTGCACTGTATTTTTTATCTTGAGACAATCTGCATTTCTTTTATAAAACTGAGGATATACTTTATAGGCTTTATGATGACTGTTATGTTTATAAGCAGTCACTACGAATATTGCAGTGGTGATTTTATATGTTAGTTTATCAAACATAATCTCCTTTTATTTTATATTTTGTTACTTACCCTTTAGGGGATCATGGGAGGAGGGGAACTCTTCCTCTGCAAAGGCTTCTTGGTACTTAAAAGTAGCAAAACTCTAAAACAGTGGACACCCAGTGTGGAGGAATGATGTGCTGGGCATTTAGGATCCCTGTGGCTGTCTGTAAATTATGTGTATCAGCTGAACATTGTCGAAGGTATGTAAATCAGTACAGTTATGTATGACTTAACCTTGATTTATAAGGTCTTAACTCTGACTCTCGACTATACATTGACATCTCATGAGAAGCTTTGGAAAACATTCTATTTTTAAACAATGTTTATATGTGGACTTCTGTTGCCACTCACTTTGGGCTTTATATTTTCATAGAGTCTTTCTGGAAAAAGAATTTATTTTCCATTCTCGTAGCTGTGGCTGCTGCACGTTTTCACCATGATTTATCTTGTTTGTAGCTTTACCAATGAATTGTAGGAAATTGAATTTGATGTTTTCAAACCAAGGATTGTGATTTTAGGTTAGAATTATATAATAGAAGCATTAAGGTTATGTCTTCTGATCAAAATACTTGAGTGAAAAGCCTACTTTGAAGACATATTCTTAGGCTTTTTGGATCTTAAATTTATCTGAATAGTGTGGGAGGAAATGATAAAGGGAAATTGAATAATATCAAAATGTTTCTTGAGTCATTGATTCTTTTAGTGTCTCAAATGTTAATTAGAATAATTGGAATCACTTTTTAGATTTTTCAAGTTACCTTGGGAAGTTTGTGCAGTGTTATAGTTTAGTTTAGCTCTTCTCCTAGGATAACGGTTTGCTAGTTTAGAACTATAACCAAACTAACTGGTCAGATAACATGTATCTAAAACATAGAGCATTAGGAAATTTGGGAATCTTAAAACTTAAAAATTTTTGCTGATGATTTTTGTTATTTAGAGAACTGATATTTGTGGATTTTAACATACTTCTAGAAATATATGCCTTTTTAAAAACTATGAACACAACCACACAGTCAGTACCATGGCGGACCCACAGGTATGAACACAACCACACAGTCAGTACCATGGCAGACCCACAGGTATGAACACAACCACACAGTCAGTACCATGGCGGACCCACAGGTATGAACACAACCACACAGTCAGTACCATGGCGGACCCACAGGTATGAACACAACCACACAGTCAGTACCATGGCAGACCCACGGGTATGAACACAACCATGCAGGCAGTACCATGGCGGACCCACAGGTATGAACACAACTACACAGTCAGTACCATGGCAGACCCACAGGTATGAACACAACTACACAGTCAGTACCATGGCAGACCCACGGGTATGAACACAACCTTGCGGGCAGTACCATGGCAGACCCACGGGTATGAACACAACCATGCAGTCAGTACCATGGCAGACCCACAGGTATGAACACAAACATGCGGGCAGTACCATGGCAGACCCACGGGTATGAACACAACCATGCGGGCAGTACCATGGCGGACCCACAGGTTTGAGTATTTCAGAGCAGGTTACCAGTGGCACAGGGAGGGCCACATTTGGGGTAAATGCAGTTAACATTTAGTTTTCTACTTTCTCTTACGTGAGGTAGAAACCAGTGTATGTTATAAATGTTTGTCTGTAAAAGGAAAAATACATACTAATACTAAAATATTTCTTATGACTGTGAATCACTCATTTATTTTTCCAATAATTGATATTGTCCATTCCTAGTGCTATTAGGTATGTATGTAATATTTACAGTTTTTCAACCCAAAGTTGTAAGTATCTCATTTGATCAGGGCTCTTTAATCTCATTTTCATTTGCTTTGTTTGAATTAACTGCAGCTATTTTATTTATTCCTGTATTACCAATCTAAGCCTGCCATAGTGATGTGTACACTAATAAAGAATCAAATATTTGCAGTTGTTGACAGTGAACCCAGTTGTTGGTGAATTTAAACTTGAAATGTGGGAGTGATTTGTTGCTGCATTTCCTTTGAGAAAGGAGGAAGAAACAGAACCTAATAATGATCATGAATCGTAGGGAAAGTGCTGAGGGAACGCGTGGCCAGCTCTGGTTTCTCCGCGAACGAGGCAAGATTCCGGTCCCCAGCTGAAGACCTCGCTGTTAAGGAGGGCAGTCTGATTTTAGGGCTGTCAGCAGAGTGTGAAGGCTGATTTTTGCTTTGCTTTATTATGAATTTGGCTTTGTTTCATTCATATGTTAACGCACGTAAAGATAACATCTCTTTCTTTCTCTTTTTTTGTGTTAATCCTCACCCAAGGATATTTTTCCATTAACTTTTAGATAGAGTGGAAGGGAGGGAGGGGGGGGGGAGAGAGAGGAACATCCATGTGAGAGAGAGATACATCAACTGGTTGCCTCTTGCACCATCCAATGGGCTAGAGATCAAACCTGAGCCCAGGTACGTGCCCTTCACTGGGAATCAAACCTGAGACCCTTATGGTCTGAGGGCTGATGCTCTAACTGCTGAGCCAAACCGGCCAGGAAAAGATGCATCTCTTAAAGTGTTGATCCATTTCAACAAAAAGGTAAATTTAAAATAATAGACTTTTTCTTATTTGCCAAAGAGAATTTGTGAAATAATTTTTTGTCCCATTTTTTGGCAGATGTTTAAAGTAATTTCATTGTCTTTTGCTACCTCCCATTTCTTTCCTCTGTAATGTACTTTAAACCATTGAAACATTCCTTAGAAACCAAGAGAAAAGAAATATCGGAAAGGACACAGACTTTAGTGTGATACAATTTCACCTCTCAAGTGGGTCTAAAGAACCACAACTTTATGTCATTAAAAAAATATGATCATCTGATTTCCTTCTTTTTAAATATGTGATCAGATGATTTTTGTATATATATTTTTTGAATATTGGTTTCTTTTATTTGATGTTTTTAGTTTTCTCTGCCATTCATCTTTCTCTCTTATGTTCAGTGTTTCAAATACCGTTTGTATTTAAAGGTTTTAAAGTACCAAAACTGTAACTAAGTACAGTGGATTGTTTTCTGGTATGATGTTAATATACAATGAAATGTATAAAGTGTTGTCAATTTGATTATTGACATATAATATGTTTACAAATAAACTGTGGTGTTGATCAAGTTACTGAGAAAATGTGTATAATTTTTTGTAAGTTCCTTAATTTTAAATACAGCTTCTGTGGCTTTCCTATACATTTTTATCATCTGTCTATCTACCTACCTACCTACCTACCTACCTTTCTATCTATTTATCTTTCCTATACATTTTAATTTATCTGTCTGTCTGTCCATCTTTTTAATCTTCACCTGTTCCATTGATTTTCACGTAGAGTGGGAGGGGGGGAGAGAGAGAGAGATGAGACATTGATTGGTTGCCTCCCACACTACCCCGACGAGGGCCAGGGATCGAACCACAACTGAGGTACATGCCCTTGACTGGAATCGAACCCTGGACCCTTTGATCCGCAGTCTGATGGTCTAACCACTAAGCAAAACCAGCCAGGGAGGGCATCCTATTCATTTTTTTTAAACAACCTTCTTTATTTTATAATTTTACATTTACAGAAAAGTTACAAGTATAGTCCAGAGATGTACCCTAAGCATTCCCTGAGCTTCCCTGAATGTTAATACCTTATGTAAACTATGGCACATATGTTAAAACTCAATTGTTAACATTGATAGGATACTGTTTACTAAACTACAGACTGGATTTGGTTTTCACCCTGTTTTCCACTAATGTTCTCTGTTCCAGGATCCAGTCCAGGATAACACATGGCATTTATTTAGTCATTATGCCTTGTTAGTCTCCTACCTGTGACAGTTTCTCAGTCTTTCATGGCCCTGACACTGAATGGTACTGCTTAGTTGTTTTGTAGGATGTCCCTTAATGTGAATTTTTCTGATTATTTTTAGTGATTAGATTTTTTTTTTTTTTTTGGTATGTGCCCCTAGCGAGAACCGAACCCGGGACTCTCTGGTCCGCAGGCCGATGCTCCAGCCGCTGAGCCAAACTGGCCAGGGCTGGTATTTGTCTTTTAATTACTTTTTTTTCACTTAGCATAGTACCCTCTAGGTCCATCCATGTTGTTGTAAATGGCTAGATTTCATTATGTTTTTTTATGACTGAGTAATACTCCAACGTATGTACATGCCACATCTTCTTTATCCATTCATCTATTGGTGGACACGTAGGTTGCTTTCATTTCTTGGCTGTTGTAAATAATGCTGCAGCGAACATAGGGGTGCATATATCTTTTCAAATTAGTGTTTTTGTTTTCTTTAGATAAATGCCCAGAAGGGGTATTGCTGGCTTGTATGGCAGCTCTATTTTTAATTTTTGAGTAATCTCCAAAGTGTCTTCCATAGTAGCTGCAGCAGTTTACAATCCCAACAACAACAGTGCACGAAGGTTCCCTTTTCTCCACATTCTCACCAACACTTGTCGTTGATTCTAGCCGTTTCGACAGGTGTGAGGTAGTATCACATGGTTTTAATTTGCATCTTTCTGACAATTAGTGATGTTGAGCATCTTCTCGTGTCTTCACCATGTGATGTCCTCTTTGGAGAAATGTCTCTTCAGGTCCTCTGCCCATTTTTTAATTGGGCTTTTTTGTGTGTTAAGTTGTATGAGTTCCTGATATATTTTGGAGTATCATTTACTGGTGTATCGCTTGCACATTTCTTCTCCATTTCAGTAGGTTGTCTTTTCACGTTGATGGTTTCCTTCACTGTGCAAAATCTTAGTCCGATGTAGTCCCATTTGTTCATTTTTGCTTCTGTTGTCCTTGCCTGAGGAGACATATCCAAAAAGAGATTACTACGACCAATGTCAAAGAGTTTACTACCTATACTTTCTTCTAGAAGTTTTATGGTTTCAGGTCTTACATCCTTTAATGTCTTTAATCTATTTTGAGTTTTTTTTATATGGTATAAGAAAATGATCCAGTTTCATTTTCTGTGCTTTTTGGAATGAACTCTTATGTTCTGCTGACTGTCCCTTTGTCTGCTCTGCAAAGCCATCTGCCTGTCCCACCTCTCTGCTTTCCGTGGTTATGACTGGTTTGGTCACAGACCTCTTGGTTTTATCATTGATCGTTTGTTTCTTGTTCTCCTTGCGGTTTTAATGGGCGGTTGCCAAGAGGACAGGGATAGAATCTGATAATTTAAAATGGTAATTAAGGGTGGGTGGGAAGGAAGAGATAAACCACAGAACATATATATATGCATGTTTGCATAACCGATGGACATAGACAACAAAGCTGAGGATGGGAGGGGAATGGGAGGAAGGTGTCAATGGGGGAAAAAGGAGAAACATCTGTAACAAAAATAAATTAATAAAAAAATAAAATGGTAATTAAAAAACATCCTCCCAGATTATTTACATATATATATATATATATATGAAATGTTAGAGCACAAAGAACACCCCCTCAAAAGAAGCCACCGTGGTGGTTGGTAGGTGTGGGGCATGAAGGTGTTAACCAGTTAACATTCGTATGGTTTGTCCTCTCTGTTAGGTGTCCATTCTTCTTGCTCAGTCATTGGCTGAGGGCTGCCCTGAGAAGGCTGTGGCCCAGGCTGGGAAGCCGAGGCCCATCCTGGAGGTCCTACCGTGTAGGAACAGCTGGAGGCTGCCAGATAACCATTTGAGGCTAGAAAGCAAATTGCATACTTGAAGCAGGATCTGAGGGCTGCATCTGTGCCTGCTGCATCCACTGCACAAAACAAAAAGACAGGCCCGTGTTTTTATTGCTGGTGGTTAAAAAGTCACCATCCAAGTCCCTGGAGTGTTGGCATGCCGACTCCGGCCAAGTCCTGATGCTGATGTTTCAAGCTCCGGGTCTGGGCTGCTGGGGGCCTGAGTAGCTTCGGTTTCCTTTGCAGGCTCTTCTCTTCCTGCGGGTGGCAGTGTTTCACCTTTTAATCCTCCGTTCTCTCGGAATTGTCAACTTGCTTGTACACAGCACAGGTTTTCTTTTCAAAAGAATAAAACAAATTGGTAGTGACAGAACAGTCATAAGGAAATAAAGTACAGCGAAGGGAATTTAGTCAATAATATTGTAATAACCATGTATGGTGTCAGATGGGTACTTGAAATATCAGGGTATGTCAATTGTAATTGAAAAATAAAAATTTATTTTAAAAAAGAATGAATGAACAGAATTTGTTTATAGTCCCGTCTTCACCCACCACCCCAGTCCTGCTAACTGCTTGTCAAGTTCGATTGGAAAACTACTTTGAGGACATCAGGACTTACTACTGTAGGCTGATTATGATAACTTTCCAGAGGAAAGGGGAGAGGGGAACTAGGAAATGGAGAGAGAAGAGAGAGAGATTTTGCATCCTGACATCCTGACATCCTGACAATTTGGTTCCTGGTTCCTGTTACTGAGGTCAGGGATTCTCAGGTTTCCATAGGAACACAGTGAGATACACGTGAGAGACTCCTGTTCCTGTAGTTGTTTATCTCTTACACACGTGTAACTACGTTGGGTTAATTTTGTTGTTAAAATTAAGGTGTTCTCCAGCCCCCCTCCCCCGCAAAAAAACCTATTTTTGTAGAGGATTTAAACATGATTTCATTTTGTTTAGGAACAAATGTGCCAAATAAATATATTCTGAGCAGCCTTTGCTTCTTTTTTTAAATCCAAGGGAAAATCCAAGCTAATGAATATCTGCAAATGGAAAATTACCTAAAACAACTATATGTTTTGGTGGATTTGGGGCATCATTTTATAAAAACTCATGCGACACATCCTGTAGGGGTGGGTTTGGGAAAACGGGCTGCATTAGAAGTGGAGTTTGAGTGACAGTCAGATATTTGTGGCAATATATCAGCGATCCTCACAGAGGTCTCAGACCAAATTTGCAAGTCATTTAGTTAGGCTAATTTGGTTGTAGCCTGGAAAGGAGGGCCAAAATAATAAAATCTTCCGTGTTCTCTATTTCTTCTGTCTCCAAAAGGATTAATTGACAGAGAGAAGGAGAGAGTAAGAGCAGAGAGTATGGACTGAGGATTTAAGAGGCCTGGGTCCAAACTGTGGCTCCACCAAAGTGGTAGACATTCGGGTTGCTCCAAATGTTGCATTTCCTCTTCCCGCCCATGGCTGATTGTATTTCCCACCTCCTTAAAGTTAGACCCAGCCTCACGACTTGCTTTGGCCAATGAGATATGGGTAGAACGGATGCATGTCGTTTCTGGGGAGAAATCTAACCACCAGTGCACAATTTGCTCCTTTCCTTCCCTCTGTCACTGTCACAAATGAGGTTGCAATGG